TATCATGTAAATCAAATAAAGACAAATGTGAACCTAAATATTATTCATATGGAATAAAGAAGTTATATGTTTTGCACACAATATTAAGATATATGACGAGTGCACGATTTATTTAGAATAAACATTTAAAATATGACGCATCATGTGACTCTGGCCATGGCTGTGAGAATGTTTTTCATTACTTCCTTGAATGTCCAATAACTGTTCGATCTTTAGAAAGTATTGTTAAAATTAGCACACTGATTCGTATTAATCGTATCTTACATGGCAATGCAGGTGTCTTATTTACTGCAAATCAGAATGTTTTCAATTATGTACATACACGTATCTATATCTCCCCAACAAAACTTTTTCTCAGTTAACGTCTGTTGTACATATGCTATTATTGGGAGGGGTCTTTTCTATCAATAAACACAATCAAACCTCTCAGGGACAAACCTGTTTTATATTCGACAGTTATTGATAGTAAATCAATTTTGAGAAGAGACATCATTTATCATTTAATCACAACAAAGTTCTATTTACCCACAATCAAACTTCTCAGTAACGAACCTGTTTCAGGCTCACCCTACTCTACTCACAACACAGTGGACTGTTCCATTATGCCCATAGGTGTTACCCTAATTAACCTTCTAGTTCAGTGTCTGTCAAGTGGGTGTCTGTCAAATGGGTGTCTGTCAATTGGGAGATAACCTCACTATCTCCTACGTAGGAATTAATATCTCCTACGTAAGGCATATTTTCTCCTACGTAGGACAAATTATCCCCTACGTAGTACTTAATATCTCGTATATACGTAGGAGATGAGCGATATATTAATATATATATATAGTTATATATATATATATATATTATAACGGTAATGCTATTTTTGAGGGCATTATCATTTGTAGAAGCCCGAGGTCTTCCATTAACTGCCCGACGAAGGAGGGCAGTTGAAAAAGACCGAGGGCTTCTGCAAATGATAATGCCCTCAAAAATAGCATTACCGTTATTATTGCTAAAATACATGGAATCTGTGTTGAAAAGAAAAAGGAAACAATGAAGGAATTTGACTGTAAGTTTACTCAAAACCAACTTCTGACTCGGTTGACTGCGTGAATGCAATTACGTCATCGAACAATTCAAGTGACGTCACAACAGAAAGTGACGATATTCGACCTTGGCCTTTGACAAGACCATAGCCTGCAACATGCCAGACCATGTCAGTGTCCGGTTTTGGTCCAACAACAACGTTAAGAGTGCAATTGTTAAGGTTAGCACCAGCAAGAAAGCCAATATTACCACTGTTTAAAGCGGGAATTCGGGTTGCTTTGACTTGTTTGACCCAGAATATCTGGCAGTCCAAAGCCAATGTCGAATGAAGCGACGCATCCAATATGACGTCACTTGACAACAGAACTGATAGTGGCCCGTCGTTAAGGTTGAGCGGTCCAATATTATTTGCAGCGGCCCGCAAATTTCTGATAATGGGAGGGCCGTTTCATGATAATTCCAAGTATTTTAGCTATAAATATATATATTACATTGATGAATAAAAACAGAATGCCTTTTTCTCCAACATGTTTCGTTCTTTACTCTTCAGGGAGATTGTAGCGGTTACAGTATGACTTCATTACATATATATTGTGACGTCACAATAGGGACAACATTCTAGAGCGACAAGGTCACAGCTGGCAATGGTTTAACATTGGTTTTAACTTGTCTATGAAGTAGTGTTAATTTATAGTGGGATACATCTGGTTTCAGGACACTTTATTTGTTCTTTGTGGACACGAACCCGGGCTCTTAAATTTTCTGATTGACCAATATACTGTTCATTACAGCCTATGCATGTTATAACATATATTATTTTTTTGCAAGAGCAGTCAAAATTCTGTTTTACATAGAATTCTCCGTGTCTCGTGAAAGTTACAGAGTGTCCTTCAACAATATGTCGACACGTTCCAGTTACCTCTGTTGCATCTAGACACAGTAGGATTTGATTCTGTTTCTTTAAAATAAATTTGGCTTTTGTTAGTATCTTTTTAAGATTCTGATTTTGTCTTTTGCTATTTATTATTTTTCTAGATTTCAGCATTGATTTCAGTTTTTCATCTTGTTCTAAGATGCACATATTTGTTTTTATGTTCTGGAACACATTTGGGTTCAACGGATTATAAGTAGATAAAAAAGCAATTACTTTTTCCTCATTGGTGTTTCATCGTTCCTGTCAAAAGATCTTCTCTATTAAGCTGTAAAGCTTTATTTATTCCGTCTTCAACAAGAGATTTTGGATATTCCCGTAATAGTAAAAACATCCTAAGTTCATTCAGTCTTTGATTGCGGGTGTCCTGGTTTGAAACTATTGTACATATTCTTCGTGCCAGGTTATATGGAAGACTTTTTTTGGTGTGGCTCGGATGACAAGATTTGAAGTTTAAATATTGTTTTGTATCTGTAGGTTTGTAGAAGATATCTGTGTCCAATTTCCGCCCCGATTTGATGACCATTATGTCTAAGAAAGCTGTTTTAGTTTCATCTGCCTCCATGGTGAAAACAAGAATTTCGTCCATGCTATTTAATAGTTCGTAAAATGTATTTAATTTCTCCTCAGAAAATGGCCAAATTATGAAGCAGTCGTCTAGAAATCTTTTCCAATTTTCCATGAAATAATGGGCAACATCCTCTCCAAGAATTTGACTGCTTTTATGCTTGAACTTTTCCTCCAGATATCCTAAGACAAGCGTCGCATAAGTCGGCGCCATTTTGGTTCCCATGGCTGTTCCTTTAATCTGTTTATAGTACTTATCGTCAAAAAAGAAAATATTGTTTTTTAAGATGAATTCAACGCTTTCCAAAATGAATGATTTTGAAATTCGCTCAGGTATGTGTTCTTCACAACGGTTGAACCAATAATCCAACGCTTTAATTCCTAGGCTATGTGGGATATTTGAATACAATTTGTTTACATCAAAAGTTACAAGTTTGCTTGTTTCATTAACGTTTTGTGGTAAGGAGGAAAGGAAATGCATGGTGTCACGAGTAAAACTTGTAACATTTGATGAGATTGGTTTCTATAAAATATCAATGAAATTACTGAGTCTATGTGTAGCACGCGCTGGTCCTGCAATTATAGGTCGGAGTTTCAAATCTCCCGGGTGTTCCATCTCAACATAGCTGCTTTTAGCACTTTCACAATGTGAACTTACAATGAGCACAAGTTTCCCAATCAATTGGTGTTGGGGGAATCCCGCCAATACACCTTGATATAAAATTGGATCAAAATCTATAATTAATACTTTCCTGAGTACGCGGCTACCAAGCTTGGCATGTGCAAAACTGTTACACCTTCGCTGTGACCTTTAAAATGACCTCAAGGTCACTAAATTCAAATGGTGTCGGTAAATCTCCAATCTCCAGTCAATAAACCTTGGTACCAAATTTGAACAAAATCCATCATTTCTTTCTCGAGTTCTTTCAGTAAACAGAATGGGGAGTCATTTGAGCAAGCGATTGTAGTTTTGGAATTGCTTTTTTGTGCAGTTTAATATCTAAGTTTTATTCTAGCCGACTTCTACCAATCTCAAACATAGCATATTTTGTTTCCTGAAGTTTGTGATGCAGTTTATTGTAGATTTTACGTTTTGGGGGAGTACCAAGCCAAGATACCAAGTCTCACAAAATGGGGATCGTGAGGCTTCAACATAGCAAAACCAATTTGCTTGAGGCTGACAGATAATATGTAGAAAAATAAAACATAAAAACAGCTGCATTTGTATCATATTCTAGGTGAGGCTGACTGCTATTTGAACGTCCCTCGTAGTTATACCCGTTAGAACACCCACCCACCTCTCCGACTCTACATGCATGCAAGTGTGTTAGATATACCCGTTAGAAACCCACCCCTACCCCACTTTATATGTATGCATATCTAAACCTCAAAAGATATTTGCGAAAAGACATGATACAGAGGACAGTTGATATCGATTATATATCAGGACGAATATCATTTTCGTCATTTAGCTAAGATTTGTCAATTCATTCTTGGGTTATCGCGCTAACAATCTTTATATTGGCAAAACCCTCAGATTTTTGCTGTGACCTTGAAAAATATCTATCTAGAATGTATTCTGTCCACTTCTCCACCAGAACCGCTCTGTGGAATTCAATGAACTTATACATGGGCTTTATTGGGACTCTAATGGTGTGCATCTCATATTTTTTATTGTTTTTTTTTTGTAAGTTTAGAGACATTTGAACTTAGGTACATTTTGCTGAATTTCTCTATGATGATAGTGTAATAGGGGATGAAGTCTATCCACTTCTCCACAAAAACTGCTCAACAGAATTGAATGAACTTCTACATGTCTTTTCTAGGGACTCTAAAGGTGTGCATTTCATCCATTTTTTATGCAATTTCTAAATTTTGTCACTTTTACAGATGTTTGAACTTAGTTGAATTTTGTTCCATTCAGCCAGTGTTCGTTCCATCCAACAGGGGATGTACGTTATCCACTTCTCCTCAAAAACTACTTTATGGAATTCATTTAGATTACACATGTGCTTTATAGGGACTCTAAAGGCGTGCATCTCATATTTTGATTTTGTATTTTAATTATTTTTCAAATTTTAATGCCGTTTGAACTTAGATAAATTTTGTTGAATTTCTCTCTGAATATAGTGTTGTAGGGGGTGAAGTCTATCCACTTCTCCACAAAAGCTGCTAAACAGAATTGTTTGAGCTTCTACGTGTGTTTCATTGGAACTCTAAAGGTGTGCATCTCATACCTTGTTCATCCAATTTCTTAATTTTGTCACTTCTACAGATGTTTGAACTTAGTTGAATTTGGTTCTATTCATCCAGTTCGTCCCTTACAACAGGGGGTGTACTTTATCCACTTCTCTTCAAAAAACACTGCACACAACTCATTTAGCTTACATATATCTTTTATAGAGACTCTAAAGGTGTGCATCTCATATTTTGTTTTCGCATTTTATAATTTTTTGTATGTTTAGAGAATTTTTAACTTAGATACATTTTCCTGAATTTCTCTCTGATGATAGTGAAATAGGGGATTAAGTCCATCCACTTCTCCACAAAAACTGCTTAACAGAATTGATTAAGCTTATACATGTTTCATTTAAACTCGAAAGGTGTGTATGTCATAGTTGCATAGATGTTTATTGAACTTGTTCGTGAATTTTGTTCAATTATTGATCTTTATATGATAATACGTTGTGTTATCTAACCCGTCAACAATTTTCAAAACTTTGTCTGAAATGAATGAATATATATGAACTTCTTTTGTGTTTTCTCTCTTGATATTTTCCTGATTATTAAAGATGTGATTGTCAATCCATGAATGTGTCATTTTTTTGTGGTAACGAAATGAACACCTGCAGTGGCACTCCTGGCAGCCAACTTCCTCGTAGTGAGTGCCGGTAACATGAACAGCAAGACCAACATTACAAGGTAATCATTTTCTGTGTTTGTGTGAACTTGCACTAGACTTGTGGCTTTGTGTAGCTGTAGTCTGTGTAGCTCATTCTCCCATACTCTTGCACCATTCACCCTGTGGTAAACCTTCACCCAGCTCGTGTCTCTGAACACCCCTGTTGTGCTTTTGGTTTGCTTGTATTCCCTTCAAAACTTACTATTGTCCACTTCAATCCCTTTAAGTATTCCCATATAGCATCACCTGAGTAAAACAGCTAGCTTCATGTCTTGCTTTTCATGGCTAAAGGGCTGTCCATTAATCATATGCATGTTTCTCCTTCTAATCCTAGATAAGATCAGCATGTTGCTTCCAGTAGCAGTCACATTAGCGATGCCTGTTGCACTAACTATCTTCACTTTGCAGATGCATCCTCTCATAGTCATAGTGCTGTAGCTACTACATACACTCCGTAGATTAGAATCTTATAGTATTTTACCTTTCAGGAATTATTGATTTAATATAGATGAAAAGTTATAACTCACTGAAATGGTTACATTCAGTGGAATATTTCTGTTAGTGGGCCATGCACTGGTAAACAATCCAGTTATAGTTATTATAGTAGGACGACATAGAGTTTTGCTTCTACCCAGGAGACAAGTTTACAATTTGATGTCATGAGTTCCACACCAACAAAGAGGTCTGGTACAGACCAGGGATTAAGTACACCCGAGCAGCTGCCCAGGTACACAAGTCCGATCAGTACACCCGAGAAGCTGCCCAGGTTCACAAGTCCGATCAGTACACCTGAGAAGCATGCTGCTGGGAGACGGAAGACAAACCTTACTTGAGTGGCCGAGGGTTTATTTTTCATCACTGGATGACATTGACACTCAAATATCTGCATCACTCTATAATTTGGTCAGGCCAGGTCTAATTCATATGATAATGGAATTCAGCATTTATCTCAAGCCTTGGAGAAACTGTCAACCCTCAGAAGCACATTGCCAAGAGACATCTCCCAAGTTGATCAGGAGTTTGCAATGGCTATTGAAAGGATAACTGTCCTTGAAAGGCGGATCGTTAACATGGAGAGGACACAGCAGTACCTCCGTAATGAACTGAGTAAGAGACCTGCTGCTACTATAGCCAAGGATCCAACACAAGATGATGTCTTGTTGTCAGCTCCAGATCCTTCTACTGATGACTCATTCTTATCTCAAACAGGATCTGCCACATATGCTAACCAGACGGATACAAATGATAATTAGAACACTGAAGACAAAAGACATGGATCTGGATAATCTACTGTTAATCCATAATCTTATGTTAATGTTTCATTACAAACTTTAGTTGTGTTCAGTAAAGATTTGTTAATGTGTTACCCATTAGTCATAAGATGACACAAAAGATATACTTTTCAAGCTTAGTAGTCTAAACTCTTAAGATCTTATGCTTATAAGTGTTTAAATTCACAGTGAACTGTGGTTTTGTTGTACTAAGATAATGTGTTTATTTCATTTATATTCACAGTAGACTGATACTTACTTCACAAGAAGGATAATGTTGTTTTAATGTATCAGTTTCAAAACAATAAAGTTTGTTTCAGATTGCCGACTTGTGTGGATGATTGCTGTTACGACTATCTGCTGTGTCTGATCCTGAGTTGTGTGCCTCATCACAGTGTTGCAAGACGATTATTGTTAGTCACAAATTTATCTCATGTAAAGTACTCTAAAAGTACAAGAAAATATTCTTTCACTATGTCGTATCTAAAACCCTAACACAAATTATTTAGTTCTTCCCTAGAATACCTTAGAGTAACACATGGATAAATTGTACAATTACTACTTATGGTTCTACTAAGTCTTTGATTAACTTCCCCCAGAACTCCTAATGTCTTTGCAGGTTACTAGTACTGATCATGCCGAAGGTCAGAAGGAAGGGTCGGCGAGCCAGACTGGCTCAAATGAAGGAGTACCATCAAGAGAAAACTTCAGCTGAGCGGTAGGCATTGTGGCATTTACTCATATCGATTATATATTCATAACTGGTTTCTTGGATTTGTTTATCATTGTCATCTAAATTTGCTTTGGGAATGTAGCACTCTGGTGTACGAACTTCAAGTTTACTGAAAATTAAGTTTGTGGACTACCCGTTCATTTCATGCCATGTTCACGTAATAATAATGACTAAGAAGTTGATACAGATTCTTTTAAATTGTGACAATTTAATTGCTCAGAGTGAACAAGTTTTCTTACTGAATGCAAAGTATATGTTCAGTGTTAATTTCAGAAATATCCCTGCTTATGACAACGAAAACCCAGAGATACCTTTCCAAACTAGCTGTTGTACTGTGACACCCAGTCATGTATGTATACTACTGGCATGTACTCTTACTCCAGCAATCATACTGTTAATAGTGTTATTGTTTCATGGTAACTGGAACTTTAATCAGTAGCTGTTGTCTTTTGAAGAATATATGTTTGGGGTGAACTTTAATCAGTAGCTGTTGTCTTTTGAAGAATATATGTTTGGAAAAGCAATAAACTGGTAAAACTGTATGTCATGTTTCTTTCTTTCCTTAATTTTCTACTGATTATTTGAGATCAATTAATAATGAAAACAAGTATATACATTTATATCAAAAAGTGAAAATAAGCATGATATGTTTTTCCATTTTGTTTTACAGAGTGATGATTTGCAGTTAGCAATCTTCAGTGGACTAAATCCACAGAGTGTTCTGGATGGTGAACTGGACATACAATTATTGGATTATGCAAACTACCTACTGGCAGCTCAGTTCCAACCTAATTATGGATTGGTATTACCATCTCGACTCTACGCTTTAGATAGTGAACACAGTGTTTTACCAAATGCACCCATTACGTTGGATGCAGATGCTGTTCAAATTCATTATGGAAATGGTCATTATCTAGTGTTTGCACAAATCAGTGGTCAGCTCTATGTCTATGACAGTCTGCTAAGCATATTTCATTTAAAAGCCATCGGGGGACAAATGAAACTTATGTACTTCAATGTATGTATCACACGCATAAAGTATACCATGGCTCAATCTCAAGGCTGTAGTGTTCTCTGTGGGTTTTTTTGCTATCGCCAATGCTTTCAACCTCCTCAGTGGAGTCCACGCACACTCGGTTCTTTTGGATGTCACAAGAATGAGACAACATCTCCATGACTGTCTGATTGAAGGCATTATCAGAGGATTTCCAATACAAAAACGTTTAAAGAGAAGAATTGATGTTATTGTGTGTGAAAGTGGAAACCAGGAAGTGTCAAAGGCTGACTTGACAAAGAAAAACATTCGAGAAAAACAACGGGAGGGCGAACAAAGGTTTCAAGTATCCAAAAGGACTTCATAAACTAAAGACACAAGTCAACAAATTTGTGAGAAAGAACGGCAGCGAATAAAACCTTACAGAGCCAAAATGAAAGCATCACTGACAGAGGATGCAAAGATAGAAATGTCGGAGAGAGAAAAGCTAGTTGCAGAGCCACAAAGAAAGCATCACTGCCAGAGGATGCAAGGATAGAAATGTTGGAGAAAGAAAAGAAGAGAAAAGCTAGTTGCAGAGCCACAAATAAAGCTTCACTGACAGAGGATGCAAGGATATCAATGTTGGAGAAAGAAAAGAAGAGAAAAGCTAGTTGCAGAGCCACAAAGAAAGCATCTCTGACACAGGATGCAAGGATAGAAATGTTGGAGAAAGAAAAGAAGAGAAAAGCTAGTTGCAGAGCCACAAAGAAAGCTTCACTGACAGAGGATGCAAGGATAGAAATGTTGGAGAAAGAAAAGAAGAGAAAAGCTAGTTGCAGAGCCACAAATAAAGCTTCACTGACAGAGGATGCAAGGATAGAAATGTTGGAGAAAGAAAAGAAGAGAAAAGCTAGTTGCAGAGCAACAAATAAAGCTTCACTGACAGAGGATGCAAAGATAGAAATGTTGGAGAAAGAAAAGAAGAGAAAAGCTAGTTGCAGAGCCACAAAGAAAGCTTCACTGCCAGAGGATGCAAGGATAGAAATGTTGGAGAAAGAAAAGAAGAGAAAAGCTAGTTGCAGAGCCACAAATAAACTTCAATGATAGAGGATGCAAGGATAGAAATGTTGGAGAAAAAAAGAAGAGAAAAGCTGGTTGCAGAGCCACAAAGAAAGCATCACTGACAGAGGATGCAAGGATAGAACTGTTGGAGAAAGAAAAGAAGAGAAAAGCTAGATGCAGAGCCACAAAGAAAGCATCACTGACAGAGGATGCAAGGATAGTAATGTTGGAGAAAGAAAAGAAGAGAAAAGCTAGTTGCAGAACCACAAAAATAGCTACACTGACAGAAGACACAAAACAACAAATGAGTGAAAAGGAAAGGAACAGGAAGAAAGAGTTCGAAAAAACAAACAGAAGAAACAACCTGAAAATAATCAATCAGACAAGGAAAGTAAATCCAAAATGACTTTAAGGGAAGATTGTTTAAAGCGCTTTCTTAAGGACATCCTCAACTTTCCGAACTACATATGCACTTGTTGCAGGAGAGTTCTATACAGAAGAAGTGTGTAGAGAGTCACCAGCAAACTTAAGAGGTCTTCTAAAGAGGATATTATCAATAAATGTGTGACCGGAAGATCTTCAGTGGGAGGATTGGAATGGATCTGTTCAACTTGCATTTCTCATATTCAGAAAGCCAAAATACCTCCTCAGGCTCTTTGTAATGATCTTCAAGTTACAGAACAACCACCTGAATTGAAAGATCTTGTACCTTTGGAAAGACGCCTTCTTTCTCGAAGATACCCATTCATGAAGTTGGTAGCACTTCCTAAGGGCAAACAAATTGCTATCAAAGGATCTGTTGTCAACATACCTGTTAATGAACAAACTGTTTGTTCTGAGCTACCCAAAACACCGAATCAGGCAGGCTTGATTGCATTAAAGCTGAAACCGAAAATAAAGTATAAAAGTCACCATAATTGTGAGTATATCAGACCACACAAAGTACTTCTTGGATTGAAATGGTTGAAGAACAATAATTATCTTTACAGAGACGTAAAGGAGCAGGAAAACCGGGAGTGTATGTGTGCTAATGAGGATCCTGAAGTATGGGAACGGTTAACAAATGAAGATAAGTCAGATGACCCTCCTCCTTCACAAAACACAAGTTTGCAGGAAGACAATTTAGGTGTGTCACATGATGTGGTCAAATCTTCCAGGGTGCCACAGGAAGATAAGTTATTGTCTCCTTCATCTACATCCAAAACTGCAATTCGGACTGTGTCTTTTGACCAACCATTATTGGTATCTTCTGGTCTCACAAATGTTAACAAAGACCAGCAGACACCACAAGAAGCTGAGAATGAGGATGATTACACAAGTGATCCTGTGTCCAAGACTAGAAGAATTAAATTTGAAGTTTGTGTCCAGAATGTTGATCCAACAATTGACATGGATAAATTTAGTCACTTAAGAAATATATTACCTGATAACAGCTAGCGCTCTATTTTCGCAGCAGAAGCTAACGCCATAAAAATATACTAATAAACACCATAAATATAAACAATTCATAATCCTTTTCCGATTAATAGAAAGTATTGAATTGTATAAGGATATTGCTACTGGCCAATGCGACATCGTCTTTTGTTGGTTACCCAACCATGTTGGCATTTCTGGAAACACAATGGCTTATTTTGCTGCCAAGGCAGCACTGAACAAATCTGTGACACCACTTCTTATCCCATACTCTGATTACAAAGCTAGCATTAGAACCTACATCCGTGATCTGATGCAGAAGTGGGATACCCAAGTAGGTATCAATAAATTACATGAAATAAACCTTATATTTGTTACACCTACTCGGGTTGTCAGTCCAGATTTGAAGAGGTCAGTCTAAGACGAATACACATGAGTATTGACTTAAAGGTGAGGATGCTCCATTTTGCATCCCTTGCGATGAGGGAATCACATTCAAGCATGTCCTTCCATCACAAGGGATAACTATTTCAGTGTCAAAACAATGAAGGATCTTTTATAATGTAAATTTCATTTAATTTTAGAATGTTTAAAAGAAATGCAATTATTAGATAAATGTTGATCAGTATGTTTTGTAAATAGATAAATGTCATTTCATTATTAATGGCAGTATAAATTAGCAAACTGCGATTGTTAGTGGCTGCATCTTCAAAGGGGGTTAAAGTATCGTAAAATTATTGGCCTCTGAGAGGAAATCTAAGTCACAAAACTTTCAAGGTTAATTTAGCTCAACCACGCTTTTTTAAACGTAGAATATTTGTTATTTTAAATTATGGCTAAATTTCCCTTCCATCGCCAGCGGCTGAGGGGAATGTGTAAATCCAGCTAGGGCCCATGCAGGAAGCAAATGTACCGTAAGTCCCTATGGTCCATAGTATGGTGATTTACCTTCAGTTGTTAAAGATAAAAAAACATGCAGCCATTGCGATTGTTAATGACTGTGTGAAATGTGCCATATGCGACTGATTTCGCGGCAATCCCCCGTTCGTGAATATACATAGATCAGTTGCACATGGGCTTCACATTTGTAATCCAGTTGATCCTCTTGTCTAAGGACTCGTGAAGGTCCGGGTTAGAATATTGATCTTCAGTAACCCATGCCTGTCGTACGATCGGGTGGTCAGGCTCGCTGACTACGTTGACACATGTCATCGGTTCCCAGTTGCGCAGATCGATGCTCATGCTGTTGATCACTGGATTGTCTGGTCCAGACTCGATTATGTACAGACCGCCGCCATATAGCTGGAATATTGCTGGGTGCGGCGTAAAACTAAACTCATTCACTCTTTTCTAAGGTGTTCAGATTCCCCGATTTTCTTTCAGTCTTTGCATTGTACAAGCATTAAGATGGGTATAACACACGTTATATTTGGGATTACACTTTCTCAATAAAGTACAGATTATAGTACTTCTGTTGGGCCTGCGAGTTCAAATCCCGGGTGGCACTCAACCCAAAATGTATTGGAATCTGTACTTTACTGTGAAAGTGTACTCCAAAATATAACATGTTACATTTGACCATTTTCTGAATGGCATGTGCGTTCAGATCTTTTGGTCGTGGGAGCCGTTCCAATTTACACTAATCAGAGGGGTACACAATGTCCATGGTCAAGACTACCAGTTGTCGAACTTCCATTTTTCACAATGGCACGTGTGTTTATTGAGATGAGAAGATGAACATGGCCATGAAGAAATTATATTTACCGATTCCAGCAATTGTTCTTTATATCCATACTCCTTGAATTGCTGCCTTTGCTACAAAATACTTTTATGTATTTTCCATTTTTCTTTTAGGGACAATGTGACGATACATTTTAACTCACTCACTTTTAGGAACAAGCAATTGCACAAAAATGCTTTGTATTTTAGAGGGAGATGAAATAACTGTTTCTGAACCAAATCTCCGTCACAGATATCTGTGTTGCGAAAATGAATTTTAGAAAACGTACATTTATTCTGTTCGGAGAAATTCCTGTCTGGAGAGTGGTAATTCCATGCATGGTTCATGAAAAACGCGACGGTCAACCATCATAATTCTGTAGATTCAGGGATCGAACTCAGCCCAGCGGCTGGGGAACTTGGTCCACCCATCCTTGTACTGTACTGCGGGAAAGAATCTTTAATTTAAGACACCATATTCATAACGGCAAGGCCAGAAACTAAGCACAGGCTATTGGATTTCTTTTCTTGGGAAGATGGAGCATGGAGCTGACAAATCTGGAAACATTTCCAACTTGGATTCGAACTCACGATCATGGGTTTCTGGTGTACCAAAGGAAGACAAATCTGCATGCTAACAGCGGCTCCTTCGACGACGTGACCATCACATGCCACGAAAGATTTGTGAAGAAGGAACACTGATTATGAAAAACATCAATACTTTATTCTTCATAAGTTGATTTCTTTGTTAATAAACTATCACAGACACAATGTCTAAAACAATGAGATTAGGATGTAACAGTGAGACAAAGTAAAGCAAATAGTCATCCAATAAATAATAATTATGCATGTCATGTTCATAATTAAACAGTTAAGCTTTACACGTCAGGACTGCATGTGACATGAAAATATCACAATGCACAAAATCACTGCGAATACCCAGGGCCCGTTCCACAAATTCACCGTAGTACAACGACAGTGGTAAGTGTATGTTAAAGTAAGGAAGTCGCCTACCACAGATTTGTGGCACGGAGCCCTTCAAATAACAGTAAATAAATAAGTATGGATATTGGGATTTCATATGAGAGGTTATCGAATAACAAATTAACTGCGGGCGTTCATTTCAATCATATTTCTCACCATACAAACTCAAATTTCAAATTTTAATCCAACAAACTTTGGGGATATATTATATCATCAGAAGTAAGAACCAGCTGAATTCGTCATCTCCTGATGAAATCGTGAATGAAAACATCACAGCTACACGTACAATGAGATTAATTCATCGTCCTCGACAAGATACAGGAATGACCGTTACACTTGCAATTACAATTAACATTACTGGTGGTCTAGTGGATGGTGCTCCTGCCCTGAAACCGTGGTCAGTGTTTCGCTCCCGAACCGCATCTAAAGAAAATATGTTAACAGATTGCACTTGTTACTGTGATTGTAATTAGTGAGGGAGTATGGTTTTGTGCCACTTTTGGCAATATTCCAGCAATATTGTGTCGGGGGACATCACAAAAGGGATCCAAACAGTGTACTCACGTGGGGAATCAGATCCGCGTTGATAGCGTGCCCAGCGAACGCCTTACCCACTCGACTACCCCACCGTCACGATTCCTCAACCGTCCTTTGCACTCTAGCTCTGGTATATCATGTGATTTCATCAAAAGTTAAGCACTCAATTAGGGCTGTGCTGTCTCTATCATCAGCCCGAATTGAGCATATATATCAGCGGTTCTTGTCCGTTCTATGATGTGGTCAGAAGGTATTATACATGATGTAGCACTAAAATGCAAAATATAACATTTTCTAATCAACTCGTACACACACATGAACTGGAGAATAATAACACTGGAATTTACAAACACATATACGTACGTATGCTTGATCTACATACGGCAACAAAAACGGATAAAAAACACTTTTTTACATTTTCATTTGGTGTTATGTAAAAGGTTCTGCTTGAAATACGATCTCTCTGTTTAGCGTTTAGGGAGGGTATGTATGTCAGTCCACAAAGTAATCTCAGTGTTTATAGCCATGCTTGAAAACCTGTACTACCAGCAATAGCTACAAATCAAAATCTGCTGATGGTTGCAGAAACTTTATGAAATACATGTCGCATACACTAAGGTCTTTGCGATGGCAAATTGCATTAAAATAGAATGGACAAGGTGAAAAGTGCAAAGCGTTCATTCCTAACCAGTGACACTAGTCACAAACGCATGCAAAAGCATGGCAAGTGTTCATCTGAAATAACACGAGGACATATGATACGTGTTAAAATAACGAAATGCATTGGACACCATTCTGGTCAAGGATGCGTCAGATTTAGAATAGTCATCTAAAGACAGGAACAATAGCAGCTGTAAAATTAAGATTATTTTGTGGAACGAGGGAATCTCTTCAACAATAGAAATGTCCCAGGTATTGAACTGAGATCTGTGAGTTATGTTGGTGCAAGGGTCTTTGTTAATTAAGAAACAGAAATAATTGCAACTCTAAACTCTTGAAGAATGGACACATAGTTACCCCTGCAGGAATCAATCTTTGTTGAATGGTCTTAGCGCTCCCACTGCCCACCCACTCAAAAACACACATTATGGAGAGTCGCAGTGAAAAGACCGATTGGTCAGCACCATCTACTGGGTGCCTGATTGGTCAGCACCATGTACTGGGTGACCAATTGGTCAGTACCATCTACTGGGTGCCTGATTGGTCAGTACCATCTTCTGGGTGCCTGATTGGTCAGTACCATCTACTGGGTGCCTGATTGGTCAGTACCATCTACTGGGTGACTGATTGGTCAGTACCATCTAGTGGGTGACTGATTGGTCAGTACCATCTACTGGATGACTGATTGGTCAGTACCATCTAGTGGTGACTGATTGGTCAGCACCATGTACTGGGTGACCGAATGGTCAGTACCATCTACAGGGTAAGCGTATTCGTTTGAGCAGGTTTGTGACTCTTGTACCACTCATGGCATAACTAACAGGAATCAGAGGATTATACTCCTACAGGATTCAGACACTAAAGAATCGCAGTCGCATCCCGTGTGGATTCCATACTGTTTATTTGGTCATTTTATGTTGAACCTCGAAATAGCTTGATAAGATCTTTTGACACAAAAAATAGAAATATGTATCGCAATTTCTGCAATGTATCCTGATCTTTGTGACAGTCGTGTTTTCAGACAACATTCTAGTAAGCATGTCAAACTCCACTTAACACTGTCTGAAGTCGATGGCACGGAGAGAACATATACAAGATAACATATCTCTACGATATCATCTCATTGTTTCACAAAATCTAACGAAGTACAGATTTGTGAATGTATTTGCTTGTTCTGCAGCTTAAATAGTGATACCCCTTAGCTAAGGAACACCAGGAAAATATATTTGCAATATTTGGACAGTTCGAAATTAAGATATACAGTAGAATTTCATTTAAACCGTTACTGTGTCAATAGATTATACTAGTAGATATTCACATAACGGTACTCTTCTTAGATTAATATTTATACTCAAATTTACTGTATAATTATGAAGCAAAGTATGAACTGAGTAAGATTTTAGGATGTTATTATAAGTTGTAGATGGGGAAAAACAATTTGCTATTGCACAATAGTACTCAAAGTGGAATATATTCTCTTGGTCATGTGAAGTTTGGATGCAACCACCTCCCTTTACAATATCCCAAACTGTCTTTTTGTGCATTCATGGAAACATGCTCCGTTTTGAAGCATCTCAACTGGATCTATCATGATATTTTGATAGAATGAAATCCCCACGGTTGCGCCATCTTTGCATCATCCATTGTCTAGGGTCTTGAATTTCCCTTCTTTAATAATAAACACCAAGGACTCATTCGCCAACAAAGAGGCTTTGCAGCATAATGTCATTTGAACCGGGCTTGAAACGAAGCTTTGGTTTCGAATGGTTCCAACATATGAATCATAACAGAATTGAAATATGATACACTGAATCACGAAGGATGCCTACTTTGTGGATATAATTGAAACACGATAGCAAACAGTGATTTTAGCTGCTTCGGGGGCCTCAATACAGCACGAGCGATATCTACATGAAATCCACACCTTCTTATGCTTGATTGACAAGTGACACACACAGCACATAAGCGACAACCTACAAATGGATTTCACTGTCAGAATAAGCAGTTTCATTATAAAGCAGTATCTACCCGATAGGAAATCACATCCAGGTATGTACAGTTCTATTGAATAAATAATCATTGAGCATGAAGCAAAATAAATACAAAAGCATAATTATGTACAGCTTAAATATTTTTAAATATCATTTGATCATGTGACACATATCAATCACGATGTTTTGTGAAATATACATATTTATTGTATTTTTCAAGTATACATATAAAGAGGATTCATAAACACAGTAATCAGATGAAACATGGTATAATCCAGAATAACGATATACGAAAACCTTCAAGAAATATGCATCAACTATTATGTAATAAACACTACTATTTCAGACTAACGTCATGACACAATATCATAAGCAGTAGCAGGAAGGCTATCACATCTGCACTTGAGCCGTCAACCAAATCATCGGTATTGAGTTGATATCTCTCATCAACAAAGGAGTACAAAACTCCCTGACTGGAATACAACACTCGTCATGTGGTTTGTTTATTAAAAATATTAATTCAAAAAGTGGTTTTGAACGAACTTTGTACGAAATGTAATCACTATACATTCATATGTACATTTGAACTAATACAACGGCTAGACGTGGATTTGTATGTGTAAAATGTCAGCAATAACGATCACAGCGATCTCAAGCAAATGTCATAGGCACGCGTTTAAGTACCGTGAAATCTACATGGTAAATGACCCGTTAGTCAGTTGTACATAACATAGTGATAGTGAAATAGACACAGACAGATGTAAATATCAACCACTATGGGATACGTCAAAGTATGGATTATAAATACCATCTTTGTAAAATGATATGTTTATATATGAGACGTGTGTGGTGTTATTAACAATAAATAGCAGTAACAGATCCAGATTGGAAATAAACGTATCTATGTACATAGATTTACATTCATGTCTCGGTTGTTGGAGACAGGAGTGACGCCATGCTGAAATGTACAAGTGGTCTATGCACTAAGATATGCACATGAAGCTGAAAGACACTGACAGACTCTGTGGATTTGGGACAAATAACATCATCGCTGATATGGCGAAGGTATGGAAGCAGTCATATCTGGAACAAAAGGAAATATAATTAAAATGTTAGCTTTCATTTTTCCTAGTTATGTTAATTAAGTAAACTGAAGAGTTTTCATGAGAGACATGTGACGGTAGTGAGCTGGAATGTGTGTATCCTTTGTTGACCTACACACATGTCTCAGACCCGTGAAGGGTAGAATAGGTCTTCAGCAACCCATGTGCTTGCCATAAAAGGCGACTATGCTTGTCGTAAGAGGCGACTAACGGGATCGGGTGGTCAGTTTTGCTGACTTGGTTGACACATGTCATCGGTTCCCAATTGTGCAGATCGATGCTCATGCTGTTGCTCACTGGATTGTCAGGTCCAGACTCGATTTTTTACAGACCGCCGCCATATAGCTGGGATATTGCTGAGTGCGGCATAGAACTTAACTCACTCACTCACTCACACATGTCTCTACACGACAATGATTGCAACCAAGTACCTCACAGCCACTGGAGCTTCCAGGATAAGGAGAGTCATGTGCTGGGGAGGAGCTTGTATTCGCAGTTGTAAAAGGGAGATAACTAAGTTTGGACCCTCACTTACATCACAGTAGATCCTAAATCTGCAGCTAACAATAGAGCTTTGACCTCTGACATAATAATGAGATATCTCTCTGTCAATGGTTTCAAAATACACAATAACAAATATGTCACTCTCAAGGGAAAAAAAGTCTTTGTACTCTGAAATTACATATAATGTGGCATCAGCAATAGTGCAGTGAAGTAGTGAGTGAAGACATCTGTGACGTATTAAAAAGTTGGAATGAAGCGTGTTTCGGCGGTATCATGTTGGTTAAATGTTGAATACAGTTACAAAAACATGCTTTGGTCATGGGAACAATGTACATAACCAGGGGCCATACCAGGGATCATAAACACAGAGAACTGTGGATAGCAGATCCTGTCTATTAAATAACACGGGAGACACGATTACATAGTTATAAGAAACCTATAACATCAATATGAGATTCTAAATCACTGTCATGAAGTGTTGATATCAGGCGTTCGTAAACTGGCAAGCCAGTCTTGTGCCACCGATGGCACCAGTCTCAAACACACGCAAAGGCTAGTCAATTGTTCAGCTGACAATATCACAGGAACATGTTGTACACGTAACAATCTGGAATTGCATCAGACATAAAGGTTGCTACTGATGCATATAATTTAACTGTATCGTGTGTGAGTCTACTACTTGTTGAAACCTAACAGCCGAAGCTGTTTGAAAGCTGGAATGCTCAATTGTTCCTATTTAGCACTTTATAAATGTAGCAGTTGAATATACCCACCATCAAATGATTACACTTGATTAGATCCACACTTTAACGTCTATTTCAAGCGTGTAGGCACCACCGAAATAGTCAACATGAATACATTTCTTCCCTTGATCTCTCTCATTAGGCACTCACAACTGTCAGTCATTCAGTGAACACGAGAAGTAATGGAATGGTGAAACGTCGTCGCGGCACTTGATGCAACCAGTCACACTTCGGAGACAGAGCGTCAACTACTTACGATCTTCTCAGCCAAAATGAAAAATAATCATCAAAGTTGAAATATTCGAAAGTTTCGCAGAAACTTGCACAATACAGCCACCTGTCTAATACACAATGGCAAATCCACAATGAGCACTGTGGCGTTGAACCATTTCATTTCTGTTTACTTTCACACTTCTCCTTTACAGTTATATATGCACAACTTGCAACACTCGTAGATTGCTTGTCAGCTGATATGACGTTATTGATGTCGTCACGAATGACGTCATGATGCAATGGCCCTCAGAGGACTCGTGTTGTCAGCAGACTCACGTTCTCCTAATAGCCAATATGTCGTCATTTTACCTTTGCCCTGTAAACAAAGTTCAATGAGAAAGTGAAGGAGAATATTTAAACATTAGTCATGTGATTGTCACAAATCGATGCAATATTTCTGATGCAGTGGTAAGAAATAATCTCATTTTTCAGTCTGCAAACCGCCAATAGTTTCACCTTAATGAGCTGCACTCTATGCTTACATGGGCAATAAACGGAATCATGAGTGAATCGTCACGTGAGTGAGTGAATCACTTGTCACATTTGTCAACCCAGTGATTGACAGCTTTAGCAATGTGGATACGTTTATAGACATGATGACATGGCCACCCAATCTCTGTGCAGATGGGTCTAAAGATGGGAATCCACTCATGTCTTGATTGTAAACCTTAAACACTCACATACAAAACACATGATGCCAGCTTTATTTCATTGTCTTACCTTCATTTCTACTGCACCTCGACATTCTAATTCAAAGGTCTTGAACTCATCAAGCACCTGTTTCGTGAAATCACTAACGTGTATTCTTAGAGCTGAAAAACATAAACATAGACGTTTGTTATAAATACATACAATGCCATACATGGTATATTATCACAAGAATGCATAATATAACAGAAATGCAAATACATCGTGCAAGTTAAACAAATACTTGTTCCTATTTGCTTTTAGGTAATTTCTGATCATATTCACCGCACAAGGGAATCTCTACACAGGAAATGTGTAATCACTTAAACATTCGATGATACAATACGATTCGCTTTATTGATTTTATTAATATGACTCATGTTGTTGTTTATATTTATGTTGTTATTGTTTATATTTATGTTGTTGTTTCTGTTATTGATTTGTTTCACTACTCACGTAGTCCATTTGACTCCATTCTAGAAGAGGTGTTGACAGTATCCCCAAACAGACAATACCGGGGCATTTTCAAACCGACCACACCCGCACACACGGAGCCTGCATGAGTGAAGAGTGAGTGAGTGAGGGAGTTGGGTTTCAAGCCCATTTTAACAGCGTATATCACAACGTGCCAGCTAATTAGACAGCGGAAAGTACAAGAATTCTGCAGGATCCGATAAGGTACAATTGGTTATTACAACAATATACCCATGATTAAATGCCCACCAATGGAAGATAATGTCTTCATCGTTACAGTATCGGATATGACCTTTCACATTTATGATGAAACACACACTACATGTATTCAACTCAGTTACAACGTTCAAATCAAGCTGTATCAAAATGTATTTGTGGTTTTATATGGGATGTCCACAAGTTATCGTGAAAATATATCCTCAACACCTGAGAACAATTCTTCCAAGTGCCTACTGGTCGTAATGAATATACCATGTGCTCAGGAAAAGGCAAATATGTCCTGCCCTTCGGCCCTTCACTAGTGCTAACACTGAAACCTTGTTAATACAGACTTCTTTGTCAAGCAACCGGTCGTCAGGTACCTGTATGTATTCCTATCCTAAGTTTCAGTTGGTCATTGGGTCTGTGGCGGATCTTGAAGCACATCACAGCATTAAGGAGGGCTAGCGACATCCGAGCAATCTCTCTGGCGTGGAAGGTTCCGTTCCGAACCGGAAGTCCAGACACCACCATGTATGCATCTCCGATTGTCTCCACCTGAAAGTATAACGTGGGTTGTGAGAGGATTGTGTTGATTGTCACATTAGTCACTTAGTATCTGATGCTTTCGTCACGATATGGCTGAGATATTGCCGATGTGACGTTAAATATTAACTCACTCACTCACTTAGTATCTGAATACTGCACAGCCAGCTGCGGATATAACGAAGTCTGCATCGCCTATGCCGAACCTATTTTGTTTCTATACTTGTAACTGTACACTTATGCCCAATGACAAAAAGCATTGATACATTGAATTGTTACTCTGTGGTCTTGCAAAACCGTCCCTGTACAGATTGCTTTAAGGACGCCAATACAACTATTTATTCTGGTATATTTACAAAGGGGCTTAACTCGTAGTTCCTATTTGAAAAAGTATCTGAAATTGACAGAAAATGTACAAAGAGATGCAATGTCAAAACAGGCTGAACAAATATACATTAACATTCCAGAGTTCGATCGAGGCAAGGGGGACATGAGAAACTTGATTGGGTACATTCTAGACGTGAACGATGACGATTCATGTAGTATCGCCACTAGACATGGTCAGTTGAAAGGACGATACAAGACAAATCAGTTTGGTATTGCCAAACAACAGCTTCTTAGTGAATCCGATGTGTCAACTGTGTGTACTATTACACACTGTGAGGAAAGAATCTTTGTTTGGTTGTCAGGACATGCAGAAATGCTATTGTACATCAAATGCAATGTGTGTAACTTTGAGATGTAAGTGTAAACGAAGTGGGAGAAATTGTCATAATAAGTCGTTGTCATAATTCCAGTTCATGCTCTTATACATAATCCACATTTATCATGTCTTCAGGTTTTCATGTAACATGAACATGTAATCAATCAATTAACTCTTCTGTATATGTGAGATGAGACAATTGATTTCAACTTTTTATGTATTAGGGAGTAACACTACTACCTACTATAAATCTCAGGCAGTGTCCTTATTGACTCAGTCAAGAAGCTTACGGACTAACCTTAGGCATCAGTTTTCTTATTGACTAGGCAGCACCTTATTGACTAGGCAGCACTTTATTGACTAGGCAGTACTTTATTGACTAGGCAGCACCTTATTGACTAGGCAGCACCTTATTGACTAGGCAGCACCTTATTGACTGGGCAGCACCTTATTGACTGGGCAGTACTTTATTGACTAGGCAGCACCTTATTGGCTAGGCAGCACCTTATTGGCTAGGCAGTACCTTATTGACTAGGCAGCACCTTATTGGCTAGGCAGCAGCTAGGCAGCACCTTATTGACTAGGCGGCACCTTATTGACTAGGCAGCACCTTTTATTTTATTGACTAGGCAGCACCTTATTGACTAGACAGCACCTTATTGACTAGGCAGTACCTTATTGACTAGGCAGCACCTTATTGACTAGGCAGCACCTTATTGACTAGGCAGTACCTTATTGACTAGGCAGTACTTTATTGACTAGGCAGCACCTTATTGACTAGGCAGCACCTTATTGACTAGGCAGCACCTTATTGACTAGGCAGTACTTTATTGACTAGGCAGTACTTTATTGACTAGGCAGCACCTTATTGACTAGGCAGCACCTTATTGACTAGGCAGCACTTTATTGACTAGGCAGCACCTTATTGACTAGGCAGCACCTTATTGACAAGGCAGGCAGCACCTTATTGACTAGGCAGCACCTTATTGACTAGACTAGGCAGTACTTTTATTGACTAGGCAGCACCTTATTGACTGACAGCACTTTATTGACTAGGCAGCATTATTGACTAGGCAGCACCTTATTGACTAGACAGCACCTTATTGACTAGGCAGCACCTTATTGACAAGGCAGCACCTTATTGACTAGGCAGCACCTTATTGACTAGGCAGTACTTTATTGACTAGGCAGCACCTTATTGACTAGGCAGCACCTTATTGACTAGGCAGTACCTTATTGACTAGGCAGCACCTTATTGACTAGGCAGCACCTTATTGACTAGGCAGCACCTTATTGACTAGGCAGTATCTTATTGACTAGGCAGTAATGCTGCTGACGGATTTTCCTTATTGACGCTAACATGTAGACCAGAATATATATCAAGGGACACAACTCCATACAAATTGGATATTTTTTACCAGTACAACCCTATGGCCGTAACAAATATTAAATTGTTATTCGCCTCACTACTGAACTTGAAACATATCAATTTATCTAGTCCTACTAAATATACATGCTTCAACTGAATCGCAACTGTTAATGATCACACATATCCTGAACAAGTTGTTTGGACCAAAATAATATGAATAAACATACCATCATGGTTATAATGGTTAGTGCGATAATCAGCAAAACATTATGTAATCATAACATAAACAGATGCTGTTTAAACAGAAATCTGATCAGCGACGACGCACATTGAAATTATCATGTGTCAAAATGTGTATCGCATTATGCCAGTGTTATCATGGAGGGCAGATGTCATACCTTGTAGACATCAAAGTTCTCAATGATGGAATCGAAGGTTGTGTACAGATCATTCAACAGATCGATCACCTGCAAACAGAGAGAAATCACACAATGTTATTTTCATATGAAATTATTCTGTTAACAAATGATGAAAGGGAGGATCCATTTGGATCGACCACATACCAAAGTACTGGAAATAAAAGGTTAAAGATTTGATCTCATAATCGTACACAGAATATCACTGTAGGTACATGAGTCCTGGAAACAAACACAATGCTATGTTTTATCCATTATTATTGCATTCCGTCAGTATATGACCAAAATTAAACTAATGAGATGTAATCCTCCTCCAACCCCTAGTAAATTGCCCATTAAATTGTCTCTCTGAAACATATTACTATCCCCCGACTGAGTCAGCAATATCTCCATCCACCCATCTCCAGCCCTTAAACAATAATTTGAAAAAGAGCCCTCTGTTCCAACTTGATGCTGAAAACAACACAATCCTTAGAGCAAAGTCATCCATTTGCAGTGACTGGTAGCCAATATCATTCTAAGAAATCAACCAAGATAGGCACTTAGAGTCTGTGAAGCAAATGGAACAGTGTCTGTTTGCCATGCTTCATCTTGTCGTGGAGTACTAACCTGCATAGGCGTGCTGTCTGCAGACAGCGCTGTGAAGCCACAAATGTCGGAGAAGTAGATTGTGACAGATTCAAAGTTCTCAGCCGCGACAGATTTGCCACGTATAAGTTGTGTAGCAACTTCCCTGGAACCAAGAAATGAGTTCTACACAGAAGGTTGATTGTTGTGTAATTGCGTTTCAACATTTTGATGGAGTAATGGTTGCAAATTATGTCAAAGTGACCTGATCCGAAGTCCGGCCATTGTGTTTGTAGATTCCCTGGTATCAAGAACAATTACTACAGCTTCTAGTTTGTTCCAAGCTACCTTTCGTGTCCAGCCACCATCAAACATCGCTGTATACTTTCTTTTTTACATCAGTTTAATATGTTGATATTGATAAATTGTAAACCACTTTAATTCAGTCAGACACTATACATGGAACTACAATAACGATACAATAGTATGAAAGCTCGTTTAGCTCTAATTTCTCCACGAGTGTGTAAAGTTGGTTTTAACATAATCTGAGTTTTGACAATAAACGCTGTGTCAGCTTAATGTGGAGAACAGTCTTGGAGAACAGAAGAATCGCTGACAGATTGAGATTCGTACTTCTGATTCAAGATCAGCGGATCCTGGTGGAGGCAAGGCTCGTAATAAACTGTGGCAACTGACACCTTCATTGTCCATTGCAGCATACAGTAAAGATGGTCATTATTAATGTGGACATAGGTTGATCAACACATAACATTCCATTTTGTTGATGGAACTTACTTTGGCAGCATGGAGTAGAGTAGATCTTCCGCTCTCTTCTTCTCCTCCAGATAATCAGCTGTCCGTTCCGACACGAGAGCTTCCAAGTTGTTGGCGTACTGTTCCATCCGAGACAGCAGGTTGTCAAGGATGTTCCCTTTGTCGCCGTCCCTGAAAACATAATGATGTCGCTAGTTGCTTAATGTTCTTTGGGTAACAAGACATGACACACACATTAATTCAGACAGGCCGGCACGGTCGAGATTCAGACAGGCCAGCACGGTCGAGATTCAGACAGGCCAGCACGGTCGAGATTCATACAGGCCGGCATGGGCGGGATTCAGACAGGCCGGTACGGTCGAGATTCAGACAGGCCGGTACGGTCGAGATTCAGACAGGCCGGTACGGTCGAGATTCAGACAGGCCGGCACGGTCGAGATTTAGACAGGCCGGCACGGTCGAGATTCAGACAGGCCGGCACGGTCGAGATTTAGACAGCTCGGCACGGGCAGGATTCAGACAGGCCGGCACGGTCGAGATTTAGACAGGCCGGTACGGTCGAGATTTAGACAGGCCGGCACAAAGTTTGCTCCCACGACAAGCACGTGCTGGGGGGAGATTCAGACAGGCCGACACAGGGCGAGATTCATACAGGCAGGCACAAAGATTGCTCCCACAACAAGGACTTGCTGGGGCGAGATTCAGACAGGCCTACACAAAGTTCGCTCCGACGGCAAGGACTTGCTGGGGCGAGATTCATACAGGCCTACACAAAGTTTGCTCCCAAGACAAGGACTTGCTGGGGCGAGATTCAGACAGGCCTACACAAAGTTCGCTCCGACGGCAAGGACTTGCTGGGGCGAGATTCATACAGGCCTACACAAAGTTTGCTCCCACGACAAGGACTTGCTGGGGCGAGATTCATACAGGCCTACACAAAGTTCGCTCCCACGACAAGGACTTGCTGGGGCGAGATTCATACAGGCCTACACAAAGTCTGCTCCCACGACAAGGACTTGCTGGGGCGAGATTCAGACAGGCCTACACAAAGTCTGCTCCCATGACAAGGACTTGCTGGGGCGAGATTCATACAGGCCTACACAAAGTTTGCTCCCACGACAAGGACTTGCTGGGGCGAGATTCATACAGGCCTACACAAAGTCTGCTCCCATGACAAGGACTTGCTAGGGCGAGATTCAGACAGGCTTACACAAAGTTTGCTCCCACGACAAGGACTTGCTGGGGCGAGATTCATACAGGCCTACACAAAGTCTGCTCCCATGACAAGGACTTGCTGGGGCGAGATTCATACAGGCCTACACAAAGTCTGCTCCCATGACAAGGACTTGCTGGGGCGAGATTCAGACAGGCTTACACAAAGTTTGCTCCCACGACAAGGACTTGCTGGGGCGAGATTCATACAGGCCTACACAAAGTTTGCTCCCACGACAAGGACTTGCTGGGGCGAGATTCATACAGGCCTACACAAAGTTTGCTCCCACGACAAGGACTTGCTGGGGCGAGATTCATACAGGCCGACACAAAGTCTGCTCCCACGGCAAGGACATTCCTGTATCACACTCAATCATGCTGTATCACCGTGGCAAAGTATCTTTCTTAGCATTGTTATTCCTATCATTTCGTATAACACATGTTGGTTGGTGGGACTTAAACCTGGACACACTATGATGGTAATGAGACAGTTATTCTTCATCTGATATGACAACGCCAGTAGGACATTTTAATGCATTTGATTGTCTGTGTCATCCAATCCTAATTATATAACGTACACATACTTTTACTTTTAACATAACCTACATCTAGTTTTGACAAACTGAGCCCATGATCGTCGCTGACCAGTCGACAGCAAATTGAATCTATTATGTCTGAGTGGATTTCGTTCGAAAGGAGTTGCGTCCCTTGGATTGTACTGCAATGCCTTCAGGCATATATCGCTGGGCTCTGTTTGTTTTGTTGGCTGGTGTGTTGTCTAATGCCACTCTTAGAAAGATTCCAGGAGGTCTGTAAATGATCGAGCTGGACCAGACAATCCAGTCATTGGCATCAACATCAACCAACGTCAGGGAGCCTGACCGCCTGATACCGTTACTCGCTTCTTACGACAAGCATGGACTGCTGAAGATCAACCCTAATCTGGATCTTCACGCAATTAGGCAACTTAAATATACCAACGGCCTGTGTGTTTTGTCAACACTATATTTCAGCACTGATTTTCAGTGACCCGTCCATATACTTTTCAATGGAATCGGTTTGTTGGGTAATGGGGACTGGTTATCTTCTGGCGTTGACGGTTCATCTTTTTGCATTCCAAAGTTACTGAATTGATATGCACCCAAGATACTTACTTGTTAAGTTTTCTAATGATCGATTTGAGAGCCGTAAAGTCGGGTCGCTCGGCCGGGTCTTCCGCCCAGCATCTCTTGATGACATCAGCAAGTTCGTCACACGGACAGTCATATTCCTCTAACGTGGGTCGGAAGTATGGCCGCACCCCGTTCTTCAGCTTTTCATATATATCTGAAATATTGACATTAAACATTATTACGTGCATTCCTCCAGAGTTCCCTGATAACGTATGTTTGTCTGTTGATTAATGCCGCATTCAGCAATATCGTGGCTACATGACGACTGTAGGTCTGGACGTATATACGTATTATACGTATAATGATACAATAAGAAATGACCTGTGAAAATGAGATATGACATGTATCAACCACGACAGCGAGCTGACCACCTGATCTTGTTTGACCCTTCTAACGATAACCATTGGCAGCTGTAGATAGATTCCTACATCTCCATGGAGAGACCAATGCCAACAGATTCATCAGCAGAATTCACAAAACACATGCACATATGTTAATGCTAATTATTATCATTGTGTAATTGTGTATTGCATTCTGCAGTTAAGATGCTTTATGTACGTATTCTCTCGCCAATAGCTGGATCTACAAACTCATTAACACGTTTTGATATTCATATGTCATTTACGAAACTAACTGATTTGAAACATACTCAACATTGTGGGTATAGTTTGTTAAATTTGACAGAGCGATTTTGTCTGTGTTTCGTTGATGAAATGTAAAGTTCCCTGTCTCCCCATGTGATACTGTCAGTTTCCTCTTACGATAAGCAAAGTTGTGATTGTTAATTCAAAGTGGAGACGATTAATGACACTACATCCATTTCTGTGACGTATATGATTATATGTAAGTTTTATAACATCGTGTATAAATATACCAAGGTAATGGTCCAAAGATCACATTACCGTTCTCATTATTGCTCTTACAAAATCATGTTTGACATTTACTTTGTCATAAGTAAAATTTCAACATCAAGTATTTGTAGTCATTATGTTGAAACCTACGGCATAACAAGGTCGTATTTGTTACATATAACATCAAATAATGTATATGAAACTCTACAAAAACAAGAATGACAAACTCTGTAAGTAATCAATTAAGTATAATTCATCGGGCAAGCACATGAAAGAGTAGCAGTCACAACTGTATTGGAGCAGTGTTTAGCAACATACACGATCAGTAAAAGTGACGTGTGAGAAACTAAATTGTATAAACTGATGCACAAGGAAATGTATTAGAAGTGCGTGTGTGTGTGTGCATGTGTGTGTGTGCGTGTGTGTGTGTGTAAGGGGGGAGTCAAACAAACCCAACATTTTGAATTGGCTGCATATCAGTTCCATAAACGTGTTCATATTTGTTTTTCTAAGACAGATGTTCATTTTATTTTCAAAAGTAGATAGTCCCACTGTTTGTTGCATTTATAACCTATTGGTACTTTTTGCTCCACAAGCAATAAATATTTTGTTTACCGTGGAAAGTATTGAGTTATTTACGATCATACATATACATAATGCTCGTCTGTAGTTAAAGCGACACGGAATGGTGCTACTAAATACTGTAGCATGACGTCTCTAGTTGTTCATGACGTCACTGTTTCTATATGGACAGCGTCATGCAAGCTTCTTATTACAGAATCAAAGCTGGATGAGTGCAGTAACTATATCACATTGAAATACCACGAGGACTGACACATCGTTATGAAATACGCTGACACTTGCGAAATTACTTCGATCGATACATGCTCGTGAAAACAAATAACGAAACATTTTGAAAATTATTCACTTGAGCCAAAGCCAGCGAAATTCAAACTACACAAGGACAGCCTGATCGTAAGTAGTGTTTGTATAGCTTTGGTTGGTTGGTTGGTTGGTTGGTTGGTTGGTTTGTATATTGTTTAACGCCACACTTAACAATATTCCAGCTATATGGCGGAGGTCTGTAAACAATCTAATCTGTACCAGACAATTCAATGATCAACAGCATGAGCACAATCTACACAATTGGGATACGATGACTTGTGCCAACTAAGTCAACGAGCCAGACCACTCGGTCCCGTTAGTCACCTTTTACGACAAGCATGGGTTACTGAAGATCAATTCTAACCCGGGTTCTTCATGGGAGGTTTGCATAGCGAACCAGTGCATGATAGTATGCATACCGAACCACCTACATCGTTGAACACAATAAAACCAACTGAACAAAATAAATCACTGAATGAAATACATTGCGTATTTGGTACATAGTGGACATTCTGTTCCGTCATCAATTTGCATTAGTATATATGCTCTCAGTGTTTGGTCAGCTCATTCATTGCTGTCTAGGGGCGGTGGGGTAACCTAATGGTTAAAGCGTTGGCTCGTCACGTCGAAAACCCGGGTTCAAATCCCCACATGGGTACAATGTGTGAAGCCCATTTCTGGTTTCCCCCGCCGTGATGTTGCTGGAATATTGCTAAAAGCGGCGTAAAACCAAACTCCGTCAGTCAGTCAGTCAGTCATTGCTGTCTAACACTAACATACCAGTATTAAGTTCCAGACATACCAGCCCAAAATAGACATCCTCATTACCATGATAAGTTTGTTTGAGAGCAGCATGCCACGTCAACACCTGATAATTATACTATTTCCCTTTCTCATGTGTCGTTGCTGATATACACAAGATTTCCCAAACCTTTACCAAGCTCTCTGTCTGTCAACAAGATTGAGATACGATCTTTCCCGTCGCAATCAATTTCAACCCCTGTAGACAAAAAGACCTCTCCTTATGTGATCAATGGGAACACAAGAGTTACATCTGTTCCGTTAGGGAGGAGGTAAGTGCTGTGAGCGTAAGTACTCATTCCAAGAGGGTTTATTATTTTTGACATGAATTTTTTTTCACGGGTAGCTTAAGTGATGCTGTTCTCTTGACTGACGGAAGTTGATCAAATATGTTTTCCATTTGAAAATAGATACGGCTGGATGAAAAAAGGAATTAATGCAACTGTCAGGTTCTGAATTTTGTAAATGTGAGGATACTCAAGATGCAAAAACAATCAAACCTATTGTTCTGGGTAAATCTTAACACATGCTTGCCAGAGTTGCACCGCTAATATCACTTTTTGCTTGAGAATGGTGTAAGAATCTACATCGAAACGTCGCTCTATCCAATAAATCAGAAGTTGTCATCCATAAAGCTGTATGTTTCATTTTTTACCGCTAACATGTTTTAGTACATCTGTCACAATATCGTGTGAATGTTGGTTTCTGACATTGGACGAATATTTTCCATAATGATTGTACTTATTGATGAAGCATATTTAATGGACATATTAACATGACATAAAAACTATGTCATATTAAATACATTTGACATATCAACCCCGTTTTGCAACTTAATCCATGGATGAATTAACTTTAAGGTACAAGTTGTGTTTCAAAACAAAATGTTATCACCACACTAACAGGAGTTGGGTGTCCTGTTTTCGATGTTCGGTTAGGCACAGCTATTTGGTTATCGACTCCATCACATTTTAACTGCGTTGCCCTGTCACGTCAGCTATTGATTGGACACGAGGTGGTTTCTGTCATAACCCATGATCTCTACCATCGTTACTTACCTTCTGGGCTGTAGTCCGCGTTGGCGAGGAAGAAGACGCCACTTCTATACACGATTTCCTGGCAGATAATGCCGAAGCTGTAGACGTCTCCCTTGATGTTGCCTTCAGGAGGTCGATGGTGTAGTCGCAGCAGCTCTGGGGCCGTCCACAACTTGCCTGGAATAGAGATGTATCATGACGTGTAGCAGAGGAGTTTGTAGAAATTGTACGTGTATTCAAATCTCTATCGGAACGTATGGTGGTCGAATTGGTACAGCAATTTGATGAGCTAAATTGCCTCCCTTAGGTGACTGGTTTGAATCCAATAATCGCGGTGATCATGATTGGATACCGTGACGTTGATTTCAAGGAAGCGGTAAACGTTTAAAACATACACTATTTTCGGCTTGCCTCCCACATCAACGTTGCACGAAACCCAGCGGCATGAAACCCAGGTCACTCACCAACTACTGTTGTTATGTGCAGTGAGCAAGCATGATCGTCAACAATACACACAGCAGGAGACACCAGGAATTACAGGACTTTCATTTGTGAAGTAATCACACACACGCACACACACACACACGCATACACACGTGTACACACACACACACACGCATGCACACACACAAACACACGCATACGCACGTGTACACACACAGACACACGCACGCACACACAGATACAATGCAATGATCTTTACATTCTCCAGACATAGGAGACCAGCATGCCATGTCTATTCCAGGACATAGTTGTCAACGATATCGCTCCCAGGAAAACAGGAAACAGCCAAGAATACATATTTCCGAAAAGGTATGTGAGATGCACACGATAGAGTCAAAGTGAACTCGTGGTAGTAAGACAACTCATTGTTGTCTTGACACCTTCTAAAATACCTCTAAACTGAGGCTTTACGGTCAAAGAGTCTGAGTTATCGCATGCTTAAAAATGTGACTGGAGAGTGAGTGAGTATAAATATATGCCGCTTGTAGCAAGTGCATTGTCCAAGCAATTGCGGGTCGGGGGGGCAGCAGAAATAAATTTCACACACTGTAGCCATGTGGGGTGTCGAACGCGGGAGTTCCGCGCGACAAGAGAATGTTTTGACCACTCAGGTTTCACTGAAATGGAACACCACGAATGACTTTCACACACTGAACCTCAATGTGGAATTGAACCAGGGCGCTGGTGTATCGCAAGTATTTTACCCTTTACAGAAGATCCTGATTGAGCAGGACACAAACTAGCAACATTTGGGACAAAGTATAATGGTACTCCACAAGTAAATATACATACAGTACCAGTATACATTGTGCATTCAAATATTACTCATTACGATCTTTATACATGACACATAAAGTTGTCTGTACGGCATAAGCTGAGTGATCACACAATGTTGATACAATAGTGATATATCACACAGGAGTTAGTGAAGATTAATGCTATATGTACATCTTTCTATATACGTCATGTGTACAAGGAGATGTACTTCTTGTCTTGGTGGCAGAGTTTACATATTCTCTGGCTAGCTGACGGTTTTGTCTCTTTCTATCTCGATATTGTGGCAGAGGTAATCCACAACCCTTACATTACTACTGAAACATACAGTTTAAGTCCAAACGGATCTTTAGTAATTTCCACATGTTAAGTTTGTGGGAACTACTAGATTTATTTGGTCACTTTGAGTGAGAAATACATTTCTTCATTTTGCATGAAGGGCATCACTGAATTTGGGGCAAGAGAGTATTACATTTGGAGATGCGACAAAAGTGTGCCATTAGATGTTTAACGGAAGATACCAAGGCCATTTGTGGTTAGGCTGGATTAATGTCCTTCCAGAAAGCAGCATATAGAGGTCGTATGTGTATCCGTGTAACAGTCACGTGTGTCTTGTGTTATTTTCAACAGTCTTTAATATACAGCATGGTGTGTCAGTTTGATGTGAGAGGCTTACTCTAACTAATACAGATCCCAGACAGTTACCATTTCTGTAACATAAGCCCCTTGAGCAAAGCAACCTGTTATAGCTCATCGCCAGCCTTTACCTCCAGAATATAAAGGGATTTAACTACACATTTAGATTTTGGGGGTCAGCAGTCAGTATGACTCTCAAGAAAGTAGTCAGTATGACGTTATATTCTTCTGGATTTTGCAGTATATGTTGTTCGGAACTATCAAATCAACTGATTCAATGAGGGGGCTGTTGTTACTTTACACCTTGATTGATAGGGTTAAAGGTTCTTAAAGGTCTTCATGAAAATATATGATGCAACGTTCTGCGCCTCTAAATGATACCAATAAATGCCGATGTAGGCGATCGATGCAGGGGCCTTCGTAATGCCACCCAAATGATGATAAATCAAAGACTAGGGCAACAGTTACAAAAGTATCTCAGGACATTACGTATACATACATACGCCATATATCTGTCCATAGGTTCATCCGAAATATCACAGAAATCGACTTAAAACAGTGACGAGAACATTGTCTTTACAAGAAAAAGCGGCTGGCAGTTCCAAAGTAATCAATACTTAAATAGTATAATACATAGAAAAAAACGTAAGATCAGAAACACAGTGAGTGGATATTTTCAATAAATTCCTTTTGATCCTTTAATCGCCAGAAGAGAAAGCGAATGATTGGAGTTTTAAACATCAACAATTCATTTTCTTTGAGACAGTTCAAACGGATATTTCATGAACGTTCTTCACTTGGTGCACCATCATATCAGCTGTAAGATACATGTCAGAAGATAGTTTCAAATGAACAAATCTGTTTAGTTCTCAGTAATGTCTATGGTGACATACAGTAGCTTTCCAAACAAACACTTTCTCCACCGCCTAATTTACCATGAGTGAACAGGCATTGACGCCACAGATAACTTTGCGAATTCTATATTATCGTAATTTTTAAAGTCAAAACCTGGAAATGTCTAACAACAGTACGATTATGTCTAGCATTTTGATGTCATAAGTCATTTTTTAAGTTCATAAGCAAACACTTAATACGCACGTCCCTCGAAAACGTGTTTCCTCTAAATCCGTTTCGATTAAAGTTTGTACGAATAACACCAGTTTATAGCAACTGCTGCATACATTAACATACTAGTGTATGTTTACTTCACATACACAGCTAAATCATGTTAAACAGACAACAACTAATGGTTAAGGACTTCTGTAAACGTAGCAAATCTTGAAGAAATGTCTTAACTTTCGAGTCTACAACATTAACTGAAATGTCAATTCCTTGAAAATCCAATTACATTTATTTACGGAGAACGGTTCCAACCTAGTTTAACTGCGTACGGCAATGGGAAATCAATGGTGACATCTAACGGTAAAAAGAGTGTTTCCTTTAACTTTCGCTGGAATCTAATGAGAAAGAGGAGAGAGTTGTACCGGCAGAGTGTCAACTGGGATTACCGTAACTATTTGTGAAGACTTCTCTCCAGGATTGGGGACTCATAGTTAAACATCAATACAGGACATTGTTTTGAGGAACAGACAAGTAATTTAATGTTTGTAGAGCACGCCATGCCACCTCTCCACTACTTCACCATCCAGATGGTATGAGAGGAATGTGTGCATCAGTGTAACGTTCTCTCAGAATGTATTCTTCATGTGGTTGTGTTTCGAACTCTGAATTTCGCTTTCGTAACGTTAACTGACATTATTTCTTAAAACATACACCACCATGTCTCATAGCAATGTGGCTTGACATGGGATTCACTTTATGAGATAATTAGCTGCTCCTTAAGCCAGTTTGTCGAACTTCTTGGATCACAATAAATCAACACTGTTATCAATAATTAAGTAATTTTCAAAGCTGTGGTTTGGAAAGAATGTGCCTAAACCCTGTGTTATTTCTTTTCAGTCGGAAACCAAGCCTCTTTTCTGAAGTATGTATGGAAAGTACTCTTTCCCATACACCTTTCGCATACATCAGTGTGATCATTGATTTGTATTTATACATCCATATATGTGGAATCTATTTCTGGGGATAATAGGGAAACATTATCCTCTGGCCTAGAGAGAGTGTGTGTGTGGCTACTAGTCTGATGTCGGTTTCATAGTATCATTATGCAACATATATTATATTTGGGATTACACTTTCTTAGTAAAGTACAGATTCTAATACTTTTTGGGTTGAGTCCCATCCGGGATTCGAACCCACACCCTCAGAGTCAGGCACCTAATCGCCAGCACACAAAGTCAGACGCCTAGACTGCACAGCCACCGCGGCAAAACCATCAAATGAATCACTAAAAGCAGGTTTGACATATTGTAGGGAATCGAAATAAAGAGTGAGTGAGGGTTTTAGTAACATTGCGGCAAAAACCCACAGTGAAATTCACCTCCTCTTACATATCGTCCTAATATGGGGAATTAAACCCAAGTTTCCCCCACTATAACCATTTGCATAACCAACTGTGTATTGACAGTTTTACCTAGTTGATTCCGTTGGCAACAGATCTGTATATAGCTTTACTTACTTCTGTAATAAGCATATGTGCCCCCTTCCACGTCTTCCTGTGTCCCTCGGAATGAGTGAATACCAAAATCTGTGATTTTAACTACAAAACGACTGTCCACAACGCAGTTGGTGCTTTTCATGTTGCCATGGGAATGGATTTCACTGCTATGAAGATACGCCATACCCTGGAAGAGAATCATCATTATCATAACCACCACCACCATCATCATCATCATCACCATCGTCATCATCATCATCATCATCATCATCAACAACATCATCATCAACATCATCATGTTATCTTACATCATAATTTTTAACTTTTATAAATCTTATTTGATATGTAATCCACATATATATATATATGTATACACCAGTCAGTGAGTATTGTTTTAAGCCGCCAGCAGAATATGCAAGCAACATGTGACATCAGTCCATCAGGAGAATCAAACTTCGGTCCTTGAGTTTACATTTGGTAGGTACGACTCATTATGTACCAAACAATCTGTAAGTAATTAGACAGTAACTCTACTGTTGTTCATTAATGTTTAAAAGACTCACCCTGACGATGTCTTGCATGATGGAATATCGAAACATCCAGTCTAATTTGATTTGTTCATTTTCTAAAACATCCTGGAAACAAAGAAGAGAGTATTACACACAAGTGCATCTTCAAATAGCTCTATCCCCTCACCATTATGGGCATTAAAGTTAGTGGTCTGGTTATTTCACGGTGTAGGTTGTGTAGCAAAACTATCTTCAGAAAGAACCTCGAGCGAGGGTATATATGGCTGAAAAAACACAATCAGAATAAATATGGCAGTCGGATCTACGGCCCGCTGTTACTCTGCATATATACTGTTTGAGGCACCTTGGACCCAAACCCTCTGAACAGAAAAGTATACCGGTCATTTCATACTACATACCTGAAGACTGCCCTTGGGACAGTATTCTGTCAGTACACACTTATTTGGTGGGTCAATGCAGGCGCCAATGAATCGGACGGTGTGGTCATTTTGTAAATCCTTAATCTGCAAGTATATATGTTCATGATTAACACAAAAAGACACATGATAAATAACGTTTAATGGTTTAATGTAACAATATTACCTCAGTCTGACAGATGTCATACAAATAACCCGATGACGCATATATGACGTCATCAGAGCCAGATAGATGAAGATGTACTCAACACGCACGGACCATGACTGACTGAGCTTGGTTTTACGCCGCTTTTAGCAATTTTCCAGCAACATCACGGCGGGGGACACCAGAAATGGCCTTCACACATTGTACCCATGTGGGGATTCGAACCCGGGTCTTCGGCGTGACGAGCCAACGCTACAACCATTAGGCTACCCCACCGCCCCGCACAGACCGTGAACTATGCCCATACTACGCTAAATGAGTTATTTTAATGGTGTTTCCTATTGAATGATCAGTGCACAAACAATTACATTCTTTATGTTACCTCGTTAGGATGAGAAAGCCACAATAACTCGGTGCGCCTTGTGGCTGCAAGAGTTGTATACTCCCCAGGGAGTTGGGATTGATAATACAATGTGACGTTGAGATTGACATCCAATGATCGAGGGGACAAAAACCAGCGCCTTGAGCATGCACTAGTTGCCTGGATATGTGCGCTATATAAATATCTTATGATAATGATAATGACATCAATGTTAAAGAGAGTTTAAAACACGTTCACAGTACATGTACTTTAATAGATGTAGTTGTGTCTTGTCACAGCCTCTCCACCCATTACGCTCATGCCATGGCACTCTAACTACATCTGTAGTACTATGAAGCAGTCTTAAACTCTCTTGTCACGCTCTCTCCACCCATTACATTCATGCCATGGCACTCTAACTACATCTCTAGTACTATGAATCAGTCTTAAATTCTCTTGTCACGCTCTCTCCACCCATTACACTCACGCCATGGCACTCTAACTACATCTCTAGTACTATGAACCAGTCTTAAACTCTCTTGTCACACTCTCTCCACCCCATTACACTCATGTCATGGCACTCTAACTACATCTCTAGTACTATGAACCGGTCTTAAACTCTCTTAAACCTTGATGTAACATTAATAATGCAATGGTAACTAACCACTCGGGTGTTTGGTTAGTACAGATCAAACATACTCTTTCAGTTCGCCATGATTCCAAACAAATCTCGTCTTTTTAATCACGTCCATTTGTTAAACGCATAAATTATCATAAATCAACGCTATTTGGACTATTATGTGCATCAGTTTAAGAATGTAGAGTCTCTGTGCTATCTTGAATCTGAAATGATTCATCGCCGTATAACTTGTACCCACCACCTAAACTAGCCAGTGTGTCACTCTCCCAATCCATTAATCTCTCCAATGCCAGATGTTTCTTGTATACGATTAGTAAAGACAAGTTGACCACACAAGTTGATCAGTGGCTTGACGCTGACCACACAAAGCAGGTTATCAGTGGCCGGACGCTGACCACATAAAGCAGGTTATCAGTGGCTTGACGCTGACCACACACAAAGCAGGTTATCAGTGACTTGACGCTGACCACACAAAGCAGGGTATCAGTGGCTTGACACTGACCAAACCCACCCACTGCACTTAACAAGGACACAAATTACGGAGATATAGATGATCTACACTTGAAACCTCGTCAGCAACTTTAAAGTGAAGCTCGCCATCTAACGCCAAGTGATTACGCTAGCTTTCTTGACAGATGTAATTATCTTTCCTGATTGAAATTGACAACGTGTGTACTTGTACCGAGAACCTGCATTCTTAGATTCTTTCTTGTTCTCTGCAATCACACCGAACTCTTCCTGTTCTCCTCCCAAGAATAGTGAGCCGTGGTGTAAACTTGTGTAAATAATCTCACTGATGACGTTTATTCACCTGATTGATTGATATGTACATCGCACCTGTCTCCTTCATCTCGCCTGGTGTAAACATGTATGTGTTGATGTAACACGTTCGTCAGCGTTGTTTATACACGATGGTGATAAATACATTCTTTTACTCATATATGTGTTTCGTAATCGCAGACCGATATCTTTTTTACCTCAACAAATTTGAAACGGATACTAGGTAATTATCTTCACAGATAAATGTGTATAATTCATGTCACTTGCCAAGCGTGCACTTATGTATGTGATATGTCATCTCCATGTAATATATGTGTATTAATCAAGTTGCTATATATATCACAACGGAAGAAGTTGATCAGATGTAAATGGCATGTAATATGCAACATCCTGTAGAATCCATTTAGCGTGTATTTTGGGGTAAATTACAGAGACCCGAATATAATGACTGGGGTCTTCAAGAGCAGGGGGTGGTCCGTGTACCGGCAAATAAGTTAGAATATCCGACCACCAATATCAGCAAACAGAGTCTCCTTGTCAATATCGTTTCGGAGTCGGTTGAAATGTACATTGCGAATCATAAAAATGACATGCTTTCACTTTTATGCTCCGAGGCAAATCTATTCTGTTAAAGACACACTTCCATTAGTCATATTAATAACCCCAAAATTGAGAGAAACATGATTCTGTTGATGGATTAAACCTGAAGCCTGTATTGATTGATTAATCCGTACGATTTCTTAATGATATTGCATTACTATGAATACAGGGTTAGGGCAGATCACCCTGTTTTCACAAAGTGGGTTACTTGCCTTCAATGTAAATAAGAGGGACCAACCTTTCTGCACATACATGATATATCTCTTTTACAATTTCAACTACATCACAAGAATCACTACTTTTGACAATGATGCATCAAATTTTGATGTCTACCGGAAAATGTTTTCAAAGCTTTACTGAGCCCTGTAATGGTGTAACCTTCATTGATCAACTTTTTCTGAGTGAAAATTTTACCACACTTTTGGAAATTTCAGCAAGGGGAGCATGCTCGATTGTACCTCAAAAAGTGAGAAATTGAAACAAAGGTCAGTAAAATATAAGAAAGGTCACTGTGTATTTGGAGCTTTAACAGACTATCGCATATACATAACAATCAATCAGTTGTATGTAATAAACAATCAAATATATATAACACATGAGCAGATCTTATTAGGTGTTAAAAAAAATACAGCCCAGAAAATTATTTCAATCGATCACTGAAAATGAGGTGAGGTGAGGTGAAATTGGGTTTAACGTCGTGCTTGAGAATATTTCGCTCATATGACGACGTGCACGCGTGTGTATGTGTAGGTGTGGCTGCTTGTACTAGCCCAGACTGAAGCTGGTTTTATAGTGCTAGCCCACTGAGATAACATGCCGCAGTGAAGCATGAATACCCCACTCAGAGACATTATACTGACTCCGAGCCGACCAGTCCTTGTTGTACCCATTAATGCCGAGCGCCAGGCAGGGACCAACAAGTACCATATTTTAACGTCTTTTGATATGACGCGGCCGGGGATTGAACCCGCGACCTTCCGCTCTCCGGGCGGACGCTCTAACCACTACACCACGGAGGCGGCCTCTGAAAATGATTGATGACACTAGGTGTTTGAGTAAAGGTGACCACATCCTCATTCGCCAGTGGCACCCGTCATGTACATATGCTAGTAATAAAATCTAAGTACAATTATTTTCTTACTGTGCAAATATCAAGAGAAAGAGAAGGCGAAACTTTCCAAGAAAATATGCCACCTACCCGCTTCACCTCCAGTAAGAGTGTTTTAGTAATTGTTATGCTTGATTTGGGTATCTGTTTGACAGCAACAATGGCGCCCTGAAAGAAGACATGTACACCTTACTTTCATCAGTAACAAATAAAAGTGAAATCATTTCTAGACTGAACTGCCAACAAATTGAGATCAAGTGGCCTTGTTGATATTCCAGTCTGTTATTTCCGGGGAAAAAGCATCAATGTATTATTGTTTGTCTTTCTCAGAAATACAAAAGAGGAGTAAAGAAGAGTCTTTGTAAAGAAGTATTAAATGTCACGAATACACAAATATTGGCCCTTTTTTCCCAAAAATCTAAATTTCTAACAAAGAATGTATGTGGGAAATACCATCGCGGACATCAACCAAGTCAGTGTGAAAACCTGATCTTGCTAGACGCTTCTTGTGACAAGCATGGGTTGCTGAAGACCAATTACACTTTGACCATCGCGTGTGTGAGGAGATTGATGTAATCCAGTTCAGGGTGTTCCGTCTTACCTTATAGTATCCTGTTTTTGTGAAGAGTTGTCGATTGGCACCATCACTCAGGTGAGCAGCAATTGTGTCACCCGAACACGAACTATTGTAAGACATTCTCTGAAAATATATGAGAATATGCGAAGAATAATATGAATAATAAAACAGCGACAAAAGCAAAACCAAATGAACAATAATAATAAAAATGATGGTTTAGAACATATTTGTACCGGGAATTAAGCTGTGTGTGCACTGCCTGTGTACAAGAGAGGACAGACATGACTGTACAATTGGTGAATTAGGTGTCGGTGGGATAGCCATCAGGCTAAAACGTTCACTTCCTCGCGAAGGTTTCAACTTCAAGAAGATATGTTGTACCATAGAAGTGACGAAGTAAAGAAAATGTTCTCAAATAACGATACATTCCAGAATTAGTCTAAGTACACTACAAGTTCCACAGAAGTCCACAATAAAAAGAAACCGCCCCGATATTCTGTTACAAACTATCAATCTATAATTCATATTGACGGTTTCTTGTGTGACGAAACTATCCAATAATTACAACTGTATCATGTTATTTCATTCACTGGTTTCAACACGATTCTCATTAATACATCGCTGCATAAGGTATTGATCCTGACGCACTCCTATCGGATCTGATTGTAACTCATCTGACCTGTCAGACAGACACCGGACATAACAGATTAACATACAGACAATAACACGCTTATATCGTTACCTTAATCAGGAAAAGTCATCCCCTTTCTCCATACTGCTTGTTGAATGATGTTTACGAGAGGAAACAACTAAATCGTCTGGTCATAATCAATTCAACTAATTTTGTTTAAATCCTTTCACCAATTACATACCCTGTTCAAGCTCATTCGGCTTCCGTGACGTTCCAATTTCCGATTCTTTTCCGGCGATCCAAAAATGATATCTTCCCAACGCACTCTCCAGTTCATTTCGGCAAGTTCCGCTTCTAGTTTTATATGTCTGTTAACGAGAGAGTTAGTTTCGTGTAATCAGCCATAGTTTCAGCAGAGGAAATGGATCACTGACCTTGTTGTCAGCTCCTCTGGCACGTCTCCTAACACAAAGGTAAGAGAGGTGCCTGAATACGAATCCTGTTCCTGTGAAACTTCATTCTTAGCCTCTACAAACAATGACCATGTAATTGTATGCACCAGCTTTCAAAAGACTGTGGGTAGTTTGTCATGACATATATTAAATACAACGTCATTTAAAACAACTTCCTAGTAGCTTATGTATTTAATTACAGACACCTGGGATAAATCAGTGTCTTTAGAACAGATGGTAGCAGTGGGTCAGTCTGGATGTTTCACAGGGGGAGAAGATTCAGTATTGGGAACCTCCTTTGTCCACCCCATATAGCCCCCTTTGTCCATCCCTTATAGACACCCTTTGTCCACCCAATATAGACCCCCTTTTGTCCACCCCATATAGAGCCCTTTATCCACCCATATAGGCCCCCTTTGTCCACCCCATATAGAGCCCTTTATCCACCCATATAGGCCCCCTTTGTCCACCCCATATAGAGCCCCTTTATCCCTCCATATAGATCCCCTTTGTCCACCTGATATAGACCCCCTTTGTGTACCCCATATTGACTTCCTCTTTGCAGCCCATATAGACCCCATTTGTCCACCCCATATATACCTCCTTTGTCCACCCCATATAGACCCCTTTTGTGTTCCCCATATAAACTTCCTTTTTGCAGCCCATATAGACCCCCTTTGTTCACCCCATATAGACCCCCTTTGTGTTCCCCATATAGACTTCCTTTTTGCACCCCATATAGACCCCCTTTGTCCATCCCATATAGACCCACTTTGTCCACCCCAAATAGACCTCATTTGTCCACCTCATATAGACACCCTTTGTCATGAACCCCAACACGCGACAAGTACACAATACGACTGACGTTAGTCTGAGGTTTGACTTAAGTCAAATTTGAGAAAACGCATTTCCAAAATCGAAATCGATATTAAACTCAATCATAGTAGACAATTTGAGTTTGGTGAATAGAATACTTAAGTTGTTTGGGCTTTTATATTTTAAAAATGCAGCTCAGTTAAAAATTCAGCCGTTTCAAATTGTCAAACTCAGATTGAAATTTGAGTAAAAGTTTAAGTTTGTTTCGAGGAATAGGGATCTGGTCTTTCCACGTCCAAAGTAAAGGAGTAACGAGTAAACAAATAAACAAACCAAATGAATTTGCCAATGAAAGATAGGAACAAAAAATTAATAATATTCACCAGGAAAGTCACATACAAATCACAGCAAAATATGAAAAATTATGGACACTTACAAATGTTATGCCTCTTGAATATAATTTATTCAAAATGATTACAACAGAGAACATATTCATGACAAATGACATTTGACAATTAACCAAACTTTCATAACATCACAGGATTAAAGTTATACGAATGCATGAGGAACTGACTGACAGAACCCATAAATCATATTCACATTACATAGACATGAACTAACAAACCACTGTTAACCAACACCACAATGTAATCTGGCGTATTCTTCATACTAATAAACATGTAGTTACATCACCGTTTTTTCACATACCTACAAAACCCCATAAATATATATCTTTTCACTTTGGTAATGCAAAAGGAATTCCCGAGGATGTGAAAGAAATCGGCAGATTACTGACGGAAGTCAGGTAATGTGGGAATATGGTTTCAGGCTGCCATCATGTGAATGACGGTTCCTTAATATCAGCTATTTTCAGGAATAGTACAGAAACATTAATGTTACATATATTACCCTCACTACCTATGTTTTGTCTATATCAGCAATGTTGAGAATGCCTGTTGTAGGAACACGTAAAGTGTGTAGAAAACATGGGATGAATAAGCTAAAGGTACTGTGCATATATTTATCCTTAATCTCAAAGTACAGAGAAGCTTCAGTTGTCATCATAACGCAATATTGCTTAATCATTGTCATGTAAATGGATAATATCTGATTCCTTGGCATTTGATTTGCTGACTAAGCACAAATATTGCATTGATGTCGACATAGACAGAACTACGACTAATTCACGCCCGCTAACATGCTATTGTTTCCTGATGGGCAGGTAGTGGAGCCTTAATGCTTCCTTTTGTCACGAGCTTGTGTTTAACGCAGAGTATAATGAAGTTATATAGAGTGTAAACAGAGTGGGGTCAAACATCTTTGGCATAAAACGCACAGTGGAAGTTTCTTCATGATATTCCAAGACCACCACAGCAACAATGAATGTATTTCCCTGAATATGACATCCTTAAATACCCCTTAAAACTCCTTTTGTGCTACACATTTGTCACAAATTACCCTTTATGATCACATATAAGCAGAATTTTGAGGACCAAAAATGGGTGAGCTTATCTAAAGGTTACATGTTCATGAAACATTTTCACTGGTGGTAGGAACACTACGTCGCTTCGTGCTAACAAACAAGAGAAAACAACTTTGTCAGTGAAGGTGTCAAATTTGGAATTAAAATACTTTACTTTTTCAGGTCTAATTTGTTTTTGCTAGGCAACATACCCTTCAAAAGTGACATTTGCAATGATACATATTCTTTGCCAGAATCGGAAAGCATTTTTGTGCAATACAGTGTATATATTTTTTTAAAGACAAATGGTAAAATATTTTGATTATCACACTGGTGCAAAAATGTCTGTGTGTATTAATGTTCATGCTAATACCCGAGTCATACGTGTCATAATGATAAAAGATAGAACATACGTATACAATATATGCTTTTGTACAATATTGATGCAGTCCATTGTATCATCCCCAACACCTGTTGTGAAACAAATTCAAACAGGTGCGCGGATATGTATAGATACAAAGTATAAGTAAACGTCAACAAATACATAACATGAAAGCATCAAGTGTGCGTGGTGCATCGGGTAGACAGTTAAGGTTAACTTCCGTGAATAACTGTTATGCCCTATTCAACAAGCAAACATTTTAGGCTTCAGCGTGGATAGAAAGTCCAAGTTCAGATCATAAATACCTGTTTGGTCTTATTCAACATGCAAGATTTCACTCTGTGTGTGGGAGACAATATACATTTTATTCCAGAAATACCCGTTATGTCTTATTCACACAAGCATTCAGTGTGTGTGTAAGACAGAAAATAATTTAATTTGATAACTGACGGTGATGTCCTATAATATGATGTAAACATTCTCTGTGTATGTGGACGTCTGGATAGAAAATGTAAATTTAAGTCCATAACTATCCGTGATGTCCTAAAACATGCAAGCGCTCTATGTGTCTGTGCGTGAGCGTGTGTGTTTGTGTGAGCCTGAATGTGTGTCTGCTTGAATCGCAGAGAGAAAGTATAAGTCTACCCGTCCTGTCCTAATCAACAAGCAAGCGGATAGGAAGAATACGTTTGCTTCCACAAACACCCGTCATATCCTAATGAACAAGCCAGCGGATAGAAAGAATACGTTTGCTTCCATAAACACCCGTCATGTCCTAGTCTACATGCAAGCGGATAGAAAGAATACGTTTGATTCCACAAACACCCGTCTTGTAATATCAACAAGCCAGCGGATAGAAAGAATACGTTTGCTTCCACAAACACCAATCATGTCCTAGTCTACATGCAAGCGGATAGAAAGAATACGTTTGATCCACAAACAACCGTCTTGTCCTATCAACAAGCCAGCGGATAGAAAGAATACGTTTGCTTCCACAAACACTCATCATGTCCTAGTCTACATGTAAGCGGATATAAAGAATTCGTTTGCTTCCACAAACACCCGTCATGTCCTAGTCTACATGCAAGCGGATAGAAAGAATATGTGTATGCTTCCACAAACACCCATCATGTCCTGGTCTACATGCAAGCGGATAGAAAGAATACGTTTGCTTCCACAAACACCCGTCACGTCCTGGTCTACATGCAAGCGGATAGAAAGAGTACGTTTGCTTCCACAAACACCCATCATGTCCTGGTCTACATGCAAGCGGATAGAAAGAGTACGTTTGCTTCCACAAATACCCATCATGTCTTATTCAACATATATTCTGGGGTGTCTGACAAATAATACAAGCCTAATTCGACAAATAACCTTCATAGCCTACTCAATATGCAAACATCCTTGGTTTGTGTTAAACACCGGATAGAAGGTGTAGGTTTAATTATACAAGTGTTCCGTCATGTACTTTTCAACATGCAAGCATTCTGTGTGTTTGTGGAACAAAGGATTGAAGGCGAAAGTTTACTTCCACAAACATCCGCCATGCCATCTAAGCATAATGGGCGTCTGTGGGTCCTCCTAAAGCGGACCGTCGGGCTTTTGCAAGAATAACATCGATTTGTCCTATGACCATCCTCTTAATATCAGCATCATATATTTCCCGCATCTCAGCAGCAACATATTGCCCGTATGAGTCCTCGTTGTTGACAGCTTGATTCCGTGTCTCAACCTGTGGCGTTGTCGGTCCCTTATTTAACATGGAGACAGAAGCAGAGTCAGTACCAGAATCAGCAGCTGATACTATTTGTTTACCATTATTACTTCCACATGCTTTGTCGGTCACAGGTGTTGTAGGCGATGGGAGATCACGAAAGGAGATCCGGTCACAGTGGGTCTCTTTAGACATATCCTCAGTACTATGTACAAGTCCTCTTGAGCTCTCTGGAAGTTTCTCTCTGGCATATTCCACCTTCATATTGTGAACTTTACTTTTTACACTTGACTCTGAAATACATCGAACAAAGCAACATGTTTCACTTGTTAAACGTACAGTATCCTGCACCACTTAACCAGTAATCAGCATTTCTAGGCCTAATTGAACGCATACACAAATATATTCAAAGCAAATAAAAATCATAGGTATTCTGTGCCAGACAGTATAAGAAAATGGGAATAATTCCACCAAATACATGTCAATTTCAATTTTACACCGAGACATGTAAATGCATACTACTGGCAGCAGACAAACTGCAGGTGTTTGTCATGATATAAGCAACAAAATAATGCAGGGTTTTGTTGCATGTCATATCATTGGTTCAAAAAGAAATGTAGTGTTTGGTTGCATGCGATATGATTGGTGAACAAAATGCAGGGTTTTGACGCATGTAATAAAATTGGTTGAAAAGTACAACTAATGATAATGATAAGATAACAATAGCAATAACCATCATGTAACACAGTAATTGACACACAGCAAAATACAGTATATAAAAAATAAAAACTTCATAAATAATTTTAAGGTCATAAATCATTAAGAAACAAGTCATAACAAATAAGAAAATTGGAAAATAGTTATGTTAACATGCTTCATTCATCTTTTGCAGATACATAATTGTTTTTAAATCTTGCCCTTTTTCGCATTCAAGAAATACATGCAATACACATGGTCTCCTTCATCTGTGCATGTTTCATAAGAATAATGGGTAGTCTGTTCAGTTTAATTCAAAGGTTCAAAATCCATGTCCATAAACATGAGAGATATCTACTAAAGGTATATCTACAATTTCTATACAAACGTTCAAGCTACCTCACAGAATAGAATCTTGTTTTTACATTTATGTGGTATTTAAGATATACTACACTTATCATTCAAAAAATATCTCGTCGACGAAAAGCCTTCATTAAACGTACACAAATGTTAGTTTCAGTCTGAACAATTCATTACGAGTGGGTTAGTGGGGGTTTTCGAGCTGGGGTGTACCAGGTTGCATCTCAAATGGTCTGGTTTTAAAGGTTCAGTTACGAAAAGTATGAGTTTAATAGGCGGTGTAACGAATTTGATATTTTGGAGGATTCAACTTGAAAGTAACTTACCAGAAATTCTGAAAGCCTTTGCGACCTCCGCGTAGGTCTTGTCCCTTTTGTTCCTGTTATAATAGTGCTTGAATTAAATGTCTTGAACACACTGCCGATCTTGCTATATGCTTAAAGTCTCCAAACGACTCCAAAATCTTTCTGTGTAATCCATTTTGTAATGTTTTCGCATTACTTTCGGATCGACCTCTGGGCAAAATGTCCTGAAAACATCTCTTCTTTGTAGACGTCTCCATGGGTGGCTATTTCCTGGGCTACTTATCGACGTTAATGAACGTGTTGTTAACAACACATGCAAAAAGGTACATGCATTTGCATGCCGGTCGGTAAAGACGTTGAAGATGCACATTTTGAAAGAGAAAGCCTGTTTTCAATAACCTGGTATGGAATGCTCGATTTGTATAGAGTACTAGTACTTTATCTGAAAATGTACCCTTCTTGGGTCCATAAATGAAGGTAGTTACCCGTGTAAGTCATTGATCCCTCAAGAACACACGTGTACATCAAATATCCTCAGTTTATGTTCTCTTGTGTGAGAAATGATAAGCGAGGCACATCTAGTGACTCAGTCATTGTTTCAGTAACATCAAGGTATCACGAAATCACCCGGTCGTACATGTTTTCCACGTGCAACGCACCAATGCAGATCATTTAAGGCACGTTTGTTATTCGAACCCAATATCCGAGGATTCTGACCCGACAAAGAGATGTTATTCTGAACAGCTGGGTGAGTGAGTGAGTTTAGTGTAACACCGCTTTTAGCAATATTTTAGCAATATCATGGCGGGGGACACCAGAAATGGGCTTCACACAGTGTACAGGGATATCATGCTGTTATTTCTCTGTTATCATACTCATACACAGGTAAACCCTTTCACGATAAAGTGATTGAATGTTGTGTTGCGACGTAACTTATCAATTCAGGAACACACACATCATAGCGTAAACGCCACGCCACACCCTGGGATTGTGATGAAGCACACACCAGATGAGGCCACTGTTGCGACTAGCACAACTCGATTCGAACTAGCCTCATCATGACTCCAAACGGGTTCTCTTATGATGAAATCTCCAACTGTTGACATTTTGTCATGCATCAATAACAACGATAGGTAAATACAAACTGTTGAGAAATCAGTAGAAAGGTAAGTACATACTTTGAAATCATCTCACATGAAAACTTTGGAGGCCAACGGCCGATAGTCCAGCACACGAATGCACATCACAAATGAACAACAAATAACGCATGAAGAGAAATTACAAAGCAAAGGACAATCGAAATATAGAAAATTGGTTTCAGCATGACTGGCCGCATGTGCTGATGCAGTCTATTTCAAGGGATGGGTGAAGAGATGTGGTACCACAAGATACTGCAAGGTTACATACCTGTAGATGAAGAAAGCCGCCACCAGTACGATGAGAATAATAGAGCCCAAGACGATAATCACAATGCCGTACTCCGGGAAGGGTTCTGAAACAACAAGTAAAGAATACCATCAGCAACCACATTATGAAACAAACCAAGGACTGAACCCTGAAATTTATGCCAAGTACAATTAGGTACTTCTAAGCACACAGTACAAACCTAAATGCCGAATTGTTTAAAACCGTGAAAATATTAACGTTTCCATATACATTAACTGAAATATATTCACATTCTGGAAATCACGTGTAATCAACCTATCATGAAATATGCACTGACATTTAATTATCAAAGATATTTTTCCTCTGCCCCAATTTGTTTTACTGTTTTTCCATGAACTACAACTACAGTTAAAGCGTGAGAGTAGCCAAATAATACTTTATTATACTACACATGGGATATAGATCAAACTGTATTACTTTTCAAAGATGACTAACTGGAAATGGGTTCAACAAGATATCGGAAAAGGTCAACTGACTGTTCGAGTTAATTGCCTGAACCCTAACATTGGAGACAAAATACATTTGAACTCTCTGAAAATGTACTATAATGAGTAGTTTATGGGTTAACTGGGTAACAAATTATTATCCGGTCAGTGAGTGGCTATTATTATCCGGTCAGTGTGGAGCCAAACTGATGAACAGACGCCATCTTGCCATATTTCTTCCTAAGTAATAACACTAAATTGTTCAACAAGTTTAAAGAAACTTTTACACCGATCCGTATTAGATGTGGATGGGCCATTTTGTTCGACATCATGACACTGTTTAAAGTGTCACCTGATGAAGGGGCAAGTACAAGTCCAGAAACTTCGTTTGTAAACAATAAAGAAGTTGCACATCCATATCAAGTGTGTTGTATTACCCTACCAACTTCTAAATGCCTATCAAACATTTGTCTCCCTTGTGAACAAAGGTATCCTTGGTAAAAATGAAAGAAACATGTTACCAAGGATACCTTTGTTCACATGGGAAGCGACTTACACAGGGTCATGATGTCAAACCATTATGACATAATTTCAATAGAGTACATACATGTCAATCATATTTTTGGGAGGAAGGGTAATTGGTATGTTCTAACTGACGCACGAAATTAATTCCAATCAGGGTGAAATATAAGAGTTTATGTTTCATTTGGGGTTAGGTGAGACGATATATGAACGAAAACTAAGATGGTGGCATAGTTCTGCATTGCATCTGTATATGCAAATGATGTGCTTCAAAAACGCTTGTATTCAAAAATACTAGTAAAATATGCCATCGAATATACCAATATGCATCTAGTGTACATTTTCTGTAATTTAAAGACTCAACAATTTTTAAACTATGTGCAAGGTGCATTGACACCGACGGATCTGTCGTGTCGTTTCATCTCATACAATTCGCAATCTATGCAAGATCATATGTTGGATTAAAGATGAGAGGAATAATACATTCCCCTGAGGCAACCCTTCTCGTCAAATCCCAACAACCAAAGGCCATAAGAGTAAAATGACAGAAAATAACCGGATGCACTTTTCACTCTCAACAGGATTCCCCGAACAGATCAATTCTATCCATTTATACTAAGCTTTAGGATAGCCCTCTTATGCTTACTCTGGTTGGTGGCCAAAAGAGGGTCTGTCTTGTGAAAGGGCCCTTTTGGATCACCATACAATTCTAAGCTAAGAGGTGCATGGCGGTTTTCATTCCCATTAAGGTAAAATACGAAAAAGGTTATGGATTATATGAAGACATATTGGTCATGTAGTTTGTTCTTTCAAATAAAATCCCATTTCCTGCATTCCGTGTGAGGGTATAAAGTTAATTAACGTGCTTCTTGACAAATGTGTCTGCAGCGTAGACATTCAGGATTTTCTCAATTAATTTAGCGCTGCGTACTAAGTCTTTGAAATAGGAAACGCACAATGTTAAATGGAATAGTTTTATGTATTCTCTTATTGGCTTGGAAATAATTACTTCAGCTTTCATATCAAAATGTCCGTGCAGAAAAACACAATCGCCACCGTGGTGACATAGTTTACACATCAGACGAAATGAATCCTCGGAGAAGTTCCATGGGTGACAGTGTCGGCAGCTTGACTCCAGAGAGTTTCTACAGCTTCGATCCCACCATTCATCGAAACACATATAGTTTCACTTTAGGCACTCTGCGGTATCCGGTATCAACTAAGGGGTACCCAGTAGGATGGGATAGTAATGTGAATTCTTCTTGGACCTCATATCGGTTCAAATTCTTGCAGGTCCCTTACAAATCAATGGCACTCACCACGCAGAGCGAATGTGAAATATCTCAGGAAACACACACGTCCACTTTCCTGAAACCTGAATTATTGTAGGCTCGAAAGGGTTTGAATGAAAAAAGTAAGTTTTGAGACTCAGTATGACATGGACTCCGATATCAGATTCAACCGAATTTAGCCATATTGCTTGAGATAATTTTCTAATCTTTGGATTTAATATCCTTAAGGAGGTCAGTGGTTCCCCGTTCAAATACTTCTACCAATGCCCTTTAAAGACATTTACAAGTGTTTGATAAATATTAATCTCACTTCGTATTTGCAATCCTGGGACAAAATATTCGAGTGCACACCTTTGGTAATGCTTCAGGCTCATCATAAAGCAATTCAAACATGTATTAACAGTCATTGTTGGGAATGAAGTTCAATATCTGCGAACCTTATCTTTGCTCACAGTCCAGATACAAATGAAAGCCGAACTGTTTTATGAACAAACATTGATTTTGATATTCATGCTTTTCATTTTTGTTTAAGTGTTTTTAACTCTCACATGTTGGATATCCGGATCAGGAAAGCCTTGACTTGTTCTGAGAAAGGAATGTATTAGTAACACAATTGATAAAGTGGAATAATATTGCCACCAATAAGGAATTGATACAAGATTGATTACTTTCTGCAACATCAGGTTTTAGTTGGGGGTAACATTTTTTGTATGTAGTTGTCTGTCCACTACATATGAAATCTTCAGAAAAGGTGTGACGCGAGTACAATCAATAGATTGAAACATAACACACACTGATTAGATTTGGCAGCAGTTATTTTTCCACAAAATGATTCCAGATGACGAAATACAACACTAATAATGAAAATATTTCATTTTAACAAAGGTTTGTCATTTAAGTGAAAACTACTGATAAAATATGAATAAACGAACAATGCCCTTGAAATGTTAACAATTACCTTAGATAATAATGTCCTTGTGTTTGACACCCTGTTCCCATGGCGTCTAAAAGCTTGCATTTCCGGCTTTAAGATGCTATATTGTTGCCAGCAAAATTAACCTCTGTTTGAGGTCACATGATTCTGTGTAACACTACACGAAAATCTATATCTGATCCAATTAACCCTTAGATTTGTGGACATGATGTATCCTTTGTAAAGAAAACTTCATTGAAATATACATGTATGCAAAGTACACTACGTTCATAAAACATCATAGTATCCACATTTTGTCGAGAGTTGCATCTAAATGTGCGAGATAAAACCATTATTTACATCTTTTAATAACTGCCATGTGACGATACTGTGCGTATAAATGTTTTTGTCAGTTCGCCAAGCGGCGTATTAAAAGAACAAATTAAAACAAGCTCTGGCTGTATTCAGGGATAACTTGCAATTCTTAGCTAAATTAGAGAAAATAGATTTGACAAAGAAAGTGTCTTTTCTAAGTCCTGTAGGTGTAATATATGTGGGCGTCATAGGAGCAAAATACTTTACTCACTCATATACACCTTACCCCGACAGTAAATCTTACCCACGCGAGTACACCTAATCCACCCAGTACACTTCCTCTTCATTACACTGCACCAACCCTAAACTACATGATTTTAAATCGTGAACACCTCTGTACACCTTACCTATTGCAGTACACCTTGAACATTACACCTTATCTACTGCAGTACACCTTGAACATTACACCTTACCTATCGCAGTACACCTTGAACATTACACCTTATCTACTGCAGTAAACCTTGAACATTACACCTTACTTATTTCAGTACACCTTGAACATTACACCTTATCTACTGCAGTACACCTTGAACATTACACCTTACCTATTGCAGTACACCTTGAACATTACACCTTATCTACTGCAGTAAACCTTGAACATTACACCTTATCTACTGCAGTAAACCTTGAACATTACACCTTACCTATTGCAGTACACCTTGAACATTACACCTTACCTATCGCAGTACACCTTGACATTACACCTTGTACACCTTGAACATTACACGTTACTTATCGCAGTATACACAACCCGAATACATACATCTTTGTAAAAAATATCATACAAAAAGACAATACCCTTAACGCCTATTACAGCGTGATCAAAACACATTTGGTATGACTTATAGTCTACATCATGTCAATCCCACATTAATGCATCATATTGACAATGAAACAAGCGTGTCAATATCCCATCTGTGGTTTCTCAAACTGAGATAGACTTTTCTTTTTATTCCCTAAATGAAAAAAAGGAATGTGCCTTTCAGTCATTGTTAATAAACTTCAGGACGAATTCTCATTGAAATGGTAAAAAAGTATGGCATTTAGTAGACACAGGATGCAAATTTCATGTATAAAATGGGAAATCATGTGTTGGCTTCCAAGGGGATTAATGCTTGCAATTTTAGTGACATGCTATAACAAACATCATTTTCCCCCAATATTACCAGTTTCAGGAACCACCAACAGTTTAATTTTTTTCCAATGCAGCGTCATTTCATCAAATTTGTTCAATTACAGGAACGTGTTGCTGATGTGAATGTTGACTACTTGAGGCTGCCAATATCCATCATACTGCAGCCATTATGGTGGTCCCATAATCACAGGTGGAGCCATCTATTGTTGACAATAATAACCTCCGTGGGTTGTTCAAATATGACCCAAAAGATCGTGAACAGACTGCTACCAACTGGGAGCACAAAGTTATAACTACTATCGGTGCTGTCGGAGCGTATGACATGTTATGGGCCCAAAGGGATGATGAACCTGATGCTTGTCTTTCGGAGTCGGTTACGTCAGTGCGTAATGTTGTCATGAACAGTATGCTTGGTTTTTGAAAGTGGAAAAAGAATTGGAATAAACCAATTCTCTCCTAGCCAGCTGTCATTCAAATTTCGGCTATTCAATATGGAAACTTGGTTGTTCTTCATGACAGGTCTTCTGATAACGTGGCCATATATGTAAGCATCTCTACTTTAATTGCTTTGACATGGTATGAAGAGACATGTAATCTGTATAAATCACACATCAACCTTTGACTTGTAGAAATCCTAAGATATGTCGCTTTCACTGTACTGCTGAATTCCAAGGCTTGAGGGAAATCCTTACTAAGGGGGATACATTAAACAGTTCTGCTAATGTACCTCTGAAGAGCTACCTCAAAGATTACCATCATCCTTAATAAATTCAAAGAAGGGCTATCTGGATCATGACAGAAAGTATTTAAAACAAATGGAATGATTGTCGAAAAGCCCAAAGATTTGTCTTAAGTTTTTCATTAGTGTGCGTACACATGGCTCACAGACTGCCCTTTACCGGAAATAGGAGACATTTGAAAGTGTTTAGCATTCACAGTTATCCTTTACGACACTAACAGTGAATTAAAACGTCAACTCACCATCAGGCGGGCATTTGGAACCGTCAAAGCCACAATCAGGGGTGTCTGGAGGGGGACTGTTCCTTCCTCCCGCCCAGTGAATGGACTTGTGCTCAACTGGCTCATACTGTTTCTTGTTACCATAGTAATTTGCCACAACCTGCAAACACAGTGACATATGAAGTTTGGGAAACGTCAAAGAGAGCTCACTGGGAGGAATGGCATGTTCTTCACGGTCATTACGAGCTGATTCTAACGTTAGCAATGGTTCCAGGAGAATATACATAGCTCAGGATAACGTTTAATGAACTGATAATGTAGAGAATGACTGACATATGTGGCCTTCGGCACATTTCAGCAAGATCACTACACTATTCCTCTTCACACATTGCTATAATGGCCAAAATTCAAACAGATTTTCAGATGATGGGATGTCACTTTAAGACACATAAATATGCATAAGTACATATGCATGCATATTTGATGCAGAAGTACCTTGCTGTCTCGTACATGTAACCTTTGGGTGGAAATAACAATCCAAAAATATATTGAAAACATAAATTACTACCTACCTCAAACGTATCAGTGTCAGGGTTGAGATCAAGTAGCGAATAGTCAGCATTCCGGTCCCCATTCTGATCTATACTGACAGTACCTGTTATACCTGTAAAGTAATTGATAATATCAGTGTCAGGGTTGGGATCAAGAAGCGAATAGTCAGCATTCCGGTCTCCATTCTGATCTATACTGACAGTACTTGTTATACCTGTAAAGTAATTGATAATATCAGTGTCAGGGTTGGGATCAAGGAGCGAATAGTCAGCATTCCGGTCCCCATTCTGATCTATACTGACAGTACTTGTTATACCTGTAAAGTAATTGATAACATCTCATAATAACTAAAAGCGACGAAGTCCCTTCCACACCCATAAGAAATCTCTTCATGCAGAGTAGATTGTACAATTCCAACTACATCATGTGTTTGTGAATCACTGTCAAATAGTAATGGCACTAGGTCTTGTCATTGTCAGTTTACGTGCAAATTGTATTCATATGTAAATTCATATGTAATTGTATAAAAGAAGACACATATTTTTAATGAAACAGATGCTGGTCTAAATATAACAATCGTTATAATTGTTCTATAGTCTTCAGCCAGCTTCAGGCATATGTGATGTTATTGTGACCGGTGTGAAATCTTAACGCTGTCTTTGTGTAATATACCGATTATGAGCTTTTGCGATTACAGAATTGCTGTAAGACCATTGCTTGGGCTGCCAATTTGCCTAGCAGCCTTGCGTCTCGTGAACTGACCCTAAGTTAGGTTTACTTTAAACAATTCATTTTGAACTAATATACTTTTTAGAGATCATCCTAAGGTTATTTACTCACCAGAGTAACATATGTAGGTGAAGGGAAGTTTTATGTATATCCATTAGAGATTGGCACTTTGCAAAATTTGCCCCGGAGCATTTCTGATTGGTAATATTTTTACTTTACATAACCCTTAACCTGCAACACATAGCATGGTAATCTCCTCACAGTATCCAAGCACCGAGCCACCGATGTCTAATCACATTTTGATTGAAAGCATATGTCTCAGTGCCCCACGTGTAGAAGCTCCAGAAATGGCACGCCCACATGTCTATTATGAAAATGTATAAAAACCTGCAGTTGGCTTGTACAAGTAGGTAATTGTTTCCATTATCATACGACATTTTACAACTATATCACACGTTCTCCTGCTAATCAGACCGCCTCCGTGGTGTAGTGGTTAGAGCGTCCGCCTGGGAGCGAAAGGTCGTGGGTTCGATCCCCGACGGCGTCATACCAAAAGACGTTAAAATATGGTACTTGTTGGTCCCTGCCTGGCGCTCGGCATTAATGGGTACAACAAGGACTGGTCGGCTCGGGTCAGTATAATGTGTCTGAGTGGGGTATTCATGCTTCACTGCGGCATGGTATCTCAGTGGGCTAGCACTATAAAAACCAGCTTCAGTCTGGGCTAGTACATACACATACACACGCATGCACGTCGTCATATGAGCGAAATATTCTCAAGCACGTCGTTAAACCCAATTTCACCTCAACTCTCCTGCTAATCATGATAGAGTTATACAAGCAGTCAGGTGACTACTACTACTGCTACTACTACCACCACCACCATCACCACCACTACTACTACTACTACTAGTACTACTAATAAGCTAAGAATAAAATAATTCTTATGACCAACAAAACAGTTTTTCTATGGTCATAAATCTATCCCGCCGACTATTATATGCTGAACATGTGTTGTGTATGAACTACTATGAAATAGTTATGTCACCATTAATCAATTTCGCGTTCTATTACATTTAGTCTGCTTAGTTAACAATAAACTGCATCTGATCCATGGCCAGACCCATGCACAACCACAACTGGTACCCATAAATATATACAGATTCTACAGAAATGGCATGGTCCATCTTTGTCACACACGTACGTGGCTCATACGTACTGAAAATACCACTCCATATGTATATGGTTAATCACAAAATGCCTGACATCAACGGGGATATCGTTTAAGTCATTGCTACTGTGTAAAGGATATAATCGTTCATTTTAGTCATATAAACGCTTGTCTCTTATGTGTCTCTTTTCTATAGTCATATAAACGCGTGTCTCTTATATGCCTCTTTTCTTTAGTCATATAAACGCTTGTCTCTTATGTGTCTCTTTTCTATAGTCATATAAACGCTTGTGTCTTATGTGTCTCTTTTCTATAGTCATATAAACGCTTGTGTCTTATGTGTCTCTTTTCTATAGTCATATAAACGCGTGTCTCTTATATGCCTCTTTTCTATAGTCATATAAACGCTTGTGTCTTATGTGTCTCTTTTCTATAGTCATATAAACGCTTGTGTCTTATGTGTCTCTTTTCTATAGTCATATAAACGCTTGTGTCTTATATGCCTCTTTTCTATAGTCATATAAACGCGTGTCTCTTATGTGTCTCTTTTCTATAGTCATATAAACGCTTGTCTCTTATGTGCTTCGCAGTCTCAAATGAAGCCGTATGTACATAGAGTGAGGGTTTAATTTGAAAAGATGTATTTAGAAATGGGTAAAATGGATTTAAGATGGAAACAACATTGAGGTTGTTTCTACATTTTGGCGTAATTGTTTTAACCTAAATCGATAGGCTTGTGCTTGTCGAACTGTTCTGAACACAGAAGCTAGGACTGCCATATATAGATATCAGAGGACACTTTGTGAAAGACCATGCAAGGAGCCGTCATGTTTTCCCGATACTATGATCACTCTTACTCAATGGCATGGTATTGAGATCTGCCGAATAACCTACTTGGAGATTAATGTAGACGTGTGAATTAAATTACAAAGTACCAATCTTCCCTAAATGTGTTAAAAACGCATGCAGCTATGGTCCTCGGAGAGGGTTGTACAGCTTTTCTGAAATTGACTTAAACGACAAGGGCTGTGAATTACTGATGTCGGTGGCTACACTATATCCCAGATAGACGTCCATGCCAGTGCTTTAAGATGTTCACTGCATTAAATGATACTTGCCGGACCACCTGAGCCAGGTACTTCAAGACGATTCTGTTCTACTGTGGATTTGGGCTGGTATGGATATCCAATGATATTGGTAATAAAAGCAGGTCTATATTTAAACACAAACATTTGAACAACCTACAGTAAACCTGGGGTAGTAATTTGAACATTCTATTAAATATATGCTGTTATTCGTTGTTATTCGTCTGTAAGTACTCGAAGATACCATGACATTTACTTTAAAAGAAAAACTGTTCAGTTTGTCTGCTTAGAGGAGACTATAAACTGAACGCCAAATTTTCTGATGGATGAACCCTATACACCCGCTGTACTGCTTTTAGACACACGCACGCACACACACACACACACACACACACACATACATACATTCACACACACCCACACGCACGCACTCACACACACACACACACACACACGCACTCACACACACTTTTGCATTGTTTAAGAGAACTTATGTCATCTCATAATTATGGCATTTTTCATCACACCGATGTCTATCTCTTTCACATTAAGCAACCTATGAATATCTGGTAGCATATAGACATTGTTTAACCTATATTGGCATAACTGTTTATATTTATCCAAGCATATTGTACAGAAATCACTGTCCGAATGTCTTGTATATGCAGTAACTTTGAATTACGACGTGCGCACTGTGTATCATGTGCACATATTGATGGTTGATTATCTACACAAGAGTCTTTGTAGACTATATAAGTAATGAAATTGCAATATGAATGCTTAGATAACTGAAACTGTCATACTTAGAGATGCATACTATCACATAAATGATTGTTCCAGTTTAGTGAACACAAAAAACATGCCGTCTGGATTTCATTATCTTGCACATGGATTAAGTTTAGCTTTTAAAACAGCAACAAAATTAAGTAAGGAGGTACATCACTGGGCTTAGAACGCTTTGAACTACTATAGGCGTTCCTCCCATACACGTCTACGAGAACAGATGCATTGGCGCTTCAGAAGAAAAATGGTTAAGCATTTTGGCTGTGCGTCAGATGTTGCATCACCTGTAACAGAACGCGTATCATATTGTGTGAGTGTTGTTCCTTATCGTTACCTTAAACACATGCATTAGAAAATCACTCCTGAGAAACATGCGTCACTGTATGGCAAAAGCATGACCGTTTACCGGTCGAGTATGCCTACAACCATTTGAAGGTTATTTTGAGTTGATACTGTTTGTTTATGTGTTACTAACCTGAAATTAAAATATAATTCAGTCTGTATTACTAACCTGAAAATATAATTCAGTCTCGATTATCTGCCACAACAGACTTCAGTGGGTGTAAAAGGGGAAATAACAGTGGTGAAAAGTATCAGCGATGACAACAAGCGTCGTGTGTAAAGGGTAAGTAAATCAAAATATAGTTTGTACGTGTGAAAAGTATCAGTGATGACATCAAGCGTCATTTGAATGGGTAAGCATATCAAAGCTATAGTTTATACGTGTGAAAAGTATCAGCGATGACAACAAGCGTCATGTGTAAAGGGTAAGTATATCAAAGCTAAAGTTTGTAAGTGTGAAAAGTATCAGTGATCACAACAAGCGTCATGTGTAAAGGGTAAGTATATCAAAGCTATAGTTTGTACGTGTGAAAAGTATCAGTGATGACATCAAGCGTCATGTGTAAAGGGTAAGTGTATGGAAGCTATAGTTTGTACATGTGAAAAGTATCAGTGATGACATCAAGCGTCATGTGAAAAGGGTAAGTATATCAAAGCTATAGTTTGTACGTCTGAAAAGTATCAGTGATCACAACAGGCGTCATATGTAAAGGGTAAGCATATCATAGCTATAGTTTGTACATGTGAAAAGTATCAGTGATGACAACAAGCGTCATGTGTAAAGGGTAAGTATATCATAGCTATAGTTTGTACGTGTGAAAAGTATCAGCGATGACAACAAGCGTCATGTGTAAAGGGTAAGCATATCATAGCTATAGTTTGTACGTGTGAAAAGTATCAGTGATGACATCAAGCGTCGTGTGTAAAGGGTAAGCATATCAAAATACAGTTTGTACTTGTGAAAAGTTTCAGTGATCACAACAAGCGTCATGTGTAAAGGGT